AGGGTTGTCATGTCGACAGTCTCCCTTCATTTTTTGCTTACTTGGGTAAAATGATAAAGCATTCTTGCGGCGCGAACATTCATACAAGAATCGAAGAAAGAATCATTGAAGCATGCCTGTAGGAGACATAGAAAGGAGAAGAAAAAAACGCTAAAACATTAATACAGAAAGAGATGAGAGAAAATTTCTTTTTATGTTCGATGGTATACAAGAACTAGTGAAGCGTTGAATATTACAGTCTCGCACAATTTTCTAGTATAGGTGTTCGATTGGATGAATCACTGGCACACATTCAAACTCATTAAATACTTCAAACGATGTCCGTTAAAATTATGCTATTTCACCTGGGACATTCGTGATCAAGAGCACTATTCATTGCCTACCAGAGGACGAATTCGGTAGCAGACTGGAATTGATCTGCTTTGATTCTACTATACTATGCAACCTGATGAGAGACTATTGTACAAAATAATTCGCTTACGCAGCTATTACATTCCATAACTCATCCAATAATGTTCAATATTTGATTTTGATAGATTAACCATGTTTCTAGATCTCGAAAAGAACATTGTGATGATTCTCAAAACTAGTTCGGTGTACTCAGTTGATGATTTCTGTATCTATCTTGCAAAAATCTTTTCTTCGCTTTTTGAAGCTTACTAATACGTCAGTTGGGTGTGGCTGTGGCTGTACATCAGGGAAGCATCTATGTATATACTCTTACACCCTCACCCACACTCACACTCGCACCCACACCGGAACCTTTTCGGGGGTTCGGGAAAGAGCCTTTTTTTAGAGTGCACCCATACCCACATGCTTATATTTCATTTTAGAAGTTTTTGGAATTCGTTTACAAGTGATATAACTGGTCCAGCACACTACTGAAGTGTACCATAGCAAAGTAAAGAGCCTGCTAAATTGGAAATGTGTGAGGCAAATAATCATACACAACTTCAGAAGCTTCTATATTTTATCCATATTCACGAATTAAATGATTTTATCATGTTCTACGAGCAATGCTCCTCTGCTTTGAGGCCATTCGAACATGCGGAAATTCTTTTTCGTGCCTGTCGGTTTGGTACATTGGACTTTGTACGCGCAATTTTGAAGGATAATACAAGGATTGACATCAATATTCGTCACCCATCGACAGGTTATTCACCGCTTTTTATTGCTATTCGGGCACAACAGCACGAAATTATTGATTATCTCGTTCAAGAAAAGCGAGCCGATGTAAATGGAAATTCAAATATTAGTATTCACTGTGGATCGATGACCAGCTGTGTACATGAAGCGTTACGTCAACACGACCAATTAACGCTATGTCTCTTACTAGAACATGGAGCTTTGATCGATCAATCTCACATATTTTTGGCTATTATCGAATGCTTTCGATTACTGCAGAAGGTAGAAATTAGAAGGAACAAATATGTCTAGTCTGAAATATTTTCATATACTATTTTAGAAGGCTTTGCCTTTCAACTTGCTCGATATTCTCATTACACATCGACCTAAACTATTGGATGAAATTGAACGATCGAAATTGACCAGTTTCATCGCTCGACGAATGCAGTACTCATCGGAAGTTGCTTATTCGATGTCTGTTGTGGCTCTTCTTAATAAATTGATTAACCTTGATGATCTCCGAAGTTTATCTCGGCCATATTTTGATCCAACACCAACAGAATCGCGTAGACACTATGCTAAAGTAGCGATCATCGGTGCTGGACCAGCTGGCTTGATGCTTGCCGCACTTCTAGCTCGTTCGGGCATTGATTCAGTTGTCTTAGAACGTCATTCACGCTCTTATGTTGAAAATAATACTCGTGCTGGTGTATTAGAACAATCAACAGTGGATTTACTTGATGAAGTCAATGCTTCGGAACGTCTCTTTAAAGAAGGAATCGTTCAAAGTCGAGTAAACTTCCAATTTGATGGTGAAAATACTGCTATACCTGTTACAGAAATTACTCAAGGAAAATCACTTGTTATTTATGGTCAACAATATGTTTTACAAGACTTAATTGAAAAACTTATTCAGGATAACCAACAATTGTGGTTCAATATTGATTCTGTCAAGATCGACCGACATGATAAGATTGGTAATCAAATGGCTTACCGTGATTAAATTAATTANGCGGTTAATATTGATTTCAAATTACGTTTAAATGCGTTGTGTTAAAACACTGCGTTCAGATGCGTTTCAAAAATTTTCTAAGTGCGTCTCAATGCGTTTCAGACTGAAAACTCATTGGAACGCATTATAAAACCGTTTTCCGCGTTTCAACGTATCGATTCTGCGTTTCGTGTTTACATGGGTAGCTTGCCGTCAATTTCCTCGACGTGCAGGCGAAAGTAGGGATGATGTTGACGTAAAAGAGAACATGCCCGATATAACATTTCATTAGTTAAGTCCTTGCAATGAAATTCACAATAAAAGGTAATGTTTGACTCGAGACTTTCGGTAACGTCAAGTTGACGCTTGAATAATTGCTTTTAAATATTCGTCATCGATCAAGAAAGAGAATCGCACCACAATCTTCAAATCGCAATTATCTATAATGAGAATCGTACCATTTATTCAATTTTGCATAAGCTCTTAACAAGTGGCATACAGAACTTAATCGCTACATATTAAACTAGAGAACAATTCGCAGACATTCACAATAGTAGATTCGAAGTGCAACTTATGTGTCTAGAAATATTTTGACTTGATAAAAGGGGAAATAGAAAAAGCAGACGCCGCTTAGTGGATTTTCAAAGATTTCAGAAATCACTGAAATAATCTTACCACATATGAAAATATCATCACCCAATTAATGAAATCAATACACTGTATTGCATTGCGTTAAATTTGTAGCGCAGTTCCAATCGTAATGCAATCCTACTATAATTAGAAAAAAGAATCGCGTACGTTTTTCGCTTCGTTCACTTATGTAAAAGGTCTGTTATATGCGTCATTTTCTCGCTGTTATATACGTATATGCAATGCATCTTTTCATTCTATTTTTTGACAAAATTCGTACAGTAGTGTTATCGTGTAACCTTCTCATGTTATTCATATGTAAAAAAATGCAAGCTATACTTATTGGCGAATAGGATGAAACTCGACAAATGTACTTTCGTATAGCGCCAGGGTTTGTGTTAGAGAGAATTATTTATGAAGCAAATGGTTGACTAGACCTGCTGAATCACTACTTAGAAATAGTAAATATAATGAGACATGTCTTCTTATTCTTATAGTTCCTATGGGGAGTGAATGCGATGTGATAAAAATTTCAATAAAAGGTAACCCATATTATCTCTTCTGAACTTTTCGACGTTTTCAAATCGTCTTTGATTGAAATAAGTTAAACTATAACGTAATTAGGCTTTTCCATTCTACCCGAAACTGTCGATCGACCAAGTTTGACTCTTGGTTTTCTTCGTCGAGCCGTTGCTCGAAATCAAGCTGCGTTTATTTATTTCTCCCTATATGATCAAGGCTAAACAGGAGCACTCCACTAAGAGCTGAGTTGGACGGATACTATTCCAGAGTCTAGCGCGAGTATGGTGTTTTGGTCATGATAACAGTCACGAAAAATTCTCGTCAGTAAGCGTTCAACGCAATCCTCACAGGATTCAACTGAGAAACGCGATGGAAATGTTTTTATCGTATGCAAAGACTATATTGATCATGATCCATGACCGAATTAAAGTAGCATCTTGCCGCAATGTCTGTCATGGTTCTGTGAGATGGACCGGGAAGTAGTTCATTTTTGTGTCACTCTATAGTTTAACATTTATTAGCAATCATGTTTCATAAAAAAATAGATCCCTGCAACATGTGTCACTGGCGAAACATATCAATGTTTGTTGTTTCTTCGATGGATTTGCATAAGATTGAGCACAAGAATAAGAGTAATTTCCGATATCGCTCAAGTGTTAATAACTAAGAAAAGAGTACAGCACCCATGGAAGTTTTTGTTGACAAAAAAATCGGACTAAAACAGATTTTTAATCGATTAAAATTTGCTTTTAAGGCTGAAAAATCCAATAGAAATCCTGTCGTTTTATAGACAGTTATTGGAAAAAGTTGTGACTGTAATCGGATTCTAGCCAGTTTTCGACAGGATCCAATCGGCACGCGTTGGAATCGAAACAGTCGTTAGACTTCGGTTCCGACTGAGCAACAATGACCTAGCCCAGTGAATTTCATGCAGAACAAAGGAGCTAATAAAATATTAAACGTACAATACCTGTGTATTATCTGTTTGTTGCTTGGAATTTTAGGTCGACTGTTAACTCTACTCCCTTATATAGCATTTCGCTTATTATTGGTGCGCTCTTTTTGCGTGTATTTCAATCTTATCCACTTCCTTTACTAATGTAATCTAAGTGAAAAGTGCAACATGTCACTTCCATACTGACGAAGCAAACGTGAATTAATAAATGCACTTCTTACGTTCGTAGACATATAGAGATGTGAAAACGGATCCAAAAGATAACCTTTGTTTCGTCGGGCTATGTAGAATATTAAAAAAAGAACAAAAAATATTTTATTCATCAATAAAATCAACTGCGTGTCAGTTCGAATGATATTGTGGATTTTGCGAGTATTCGTAGTATTGTCAACTGTTGAACTGTGATTGCGAGGAAATAATGTGCTAGTTGAAAGCGCAACCCCGGAATTCAACTTTCCATGCACATTGTACAATCAAACTAACAGTTTCCAGTTTCTGATTGATCTTTTCAATTTAAAATTAGTTGTTTTTTCAGTGTGAGATAACGTAAACAATCTTCGAAAACATGCTAAGAAATACACTGTTTCCACAGGTCGGGTTTAAGCACTGCTTGGTGTAAGTGATCTGACTACGTCCTAATAGTATGGAGCGTGTTCTCACGTCTATTCTGGCCGGGGTGTGTGTAAAAAATCAGACCGACGATGCATAACTTCGTTTCAAACGACCAGACGAGAGCGCATTGTCAGATTTGTAGTACTACTCTCACCATTAACAACAACAACATCTAAGAAGTTATTAGTATTGAAATCATCAACCATAATAGTCATTGGTTCTGCAACAGTAGCTTGAGAAATCATTTGTGCAAATAATGTTTGATCTGTAGTCGCTAGAACAAAAAGACATTGAAGGCATATTTTAAAACATCTGAGTTCTATAGCTGTCGATCTTATTGCAAAATACTAGCATTGCAAACAATATTGTGTAACAGTCATATGTAAAACTTATAAAAAAAATTATATTAATAGCTTGCATCTGTAAATTCTTCTTATTCTTCAATCATCGATTGTCTTTAGTTAAAATTATGCGAGAGACTCTGTTAAGAAAAAACTTTCTTTAAATGTTCTTGATTATTTGAAATAAAATTACTCAAAGAAAACAACTCTTTTTAATATTATTATTAAAGATCTGTGTTGCTCAATTAGGTGTGTAGATACTGGTCAATGAAAGAACAACTGTCACTGCCACTGTCATAGCCACCACAATTATGCGTGAGACAAAAGTACAATTGGTATCCTAAAAATAATGAGAATTTATGCAGGAAAATAAACGAGAGATTATCTGTATTTAAGGGTGTGGGTGGGTTTTGTGGGCGAATGGGAGTGTTGAAGCGAGGTGGCAATTCCAATAGGCATCGACAGTCAATGGCATAGCTAAACCCACACCTGTGATGTATCAGCTGTTTCGATTTCTACCCTAGTGAAACATCTTGTAAGCAAGATCTGGGAATCTTGGGATCGGTAAGTAAGATCTTATCAAGATCTTAAAAAGATAATTTATATGCACATATCTTGGTTGTATCAGATAAATCTGTACCTGAAATCTTTGCAAAATCATGGAAAAGATATGGTTTACTATTATCTTCTCACAAGATCTTGAGTAGAACAGAAAGCGACATCATTAGTTTGTTTAGATAGGCTATCTAGTCATTCACCGTTTTTTATGCATACAGAACTGAATATAAGCAACATGATTGAACATGCAAAGCATAATTTTTCAAAGTAAGTTTTTTTTCTAAACTATTTCTCGATTATTGATTATTTGAGAGAATGCTGATCTCGATCAATGATCGAGAGAGGACTACCCTAAATTGGTCTGACGAATATCGGACCAACTTAAAGTCGGTCAGATCACAACATCTGGCTTGCTTGAGTTATTCGGGACAGGAATAATTAATATTAAAATAAATTGAAAAAATATCAAACATGCTTTCAGAATGCATCATTCAAGATTTTATGAATTCTTACTTAAGATCTGTAATAAGATCTTAGTACAAGATAATACGATTATCTTGTACCTAAATTTTCAAGATCTGTTCACTTATCTGTACCCAAGATCTTACTTACAAGATGTTTCACTAGGGTAGTCCTGGGCCCGAGTCAAGTCATTGATCTACACTAGAAAAAGGTGCCAAACGGAAAGTTCGAGGTTTCGTGGAGCTGTACTATACTTTTTAGGTGTCCGTGGAGTTATACGAAATCTGTACAAGGTTCAGCAAAATACAAGGCTTTGTAATACACTTTTAAGAGTTTCCAAATTTAAAAAGGTTTAATTGGGAACTATTTCGAGTTTGTGATTTACAATAGATTTTGTCATAAACCCTTGCGAGTTTTGCACTTAAAAAGGTTTGCTAAAATACCTCGTCAAGAGAACGTATTCATGGCATATCGTAAAAAAACAAAACGATCTCTCTCGACATGGCATATAACAGAACAACTGCATGACTAATGGTACAATCAAGTGGTGCTTTCACAATTTCATTCAATCGGTTTTCACCAAATTTCATCGGCAGGCATCTGAACTCGTCCTGGAAAACTTTTTACTGCATTCATCGCTAACTGTTTTTTCTTATCAAATACCAGAAGTTTTGATAAAAATGTTCAAGATATTTATTGGTAGTCATTTATCGGAGTATGATTACCACAATACTATATTTTTTGTTAAGATTATTGTTTTGTTTTACATTGAACTAATGAATTTAGATTAGATCATCGACTCAGTAGTTACAGTATTTCAATTATTGCCCCAAAATAATTGCTGAATTTATAACAACCACTATTTTATGTGCGTATCTTATTGCATTTTTTCTTCGCATCTCATTCATTTCTTTATTTAGTGTTGATTCAAGTTTTACAGTTTGGCTATAGAATCTGCACGTATATCATATCACACTTCAACTATACTTTTTCGTATTAAAGGTTAGTTACCATAGCATTAATAAATTCATTTTTGTTTTATTTAGATTCTTGGGAGAATTTCATTGTTGGTAAGTTATTATTATAAACGATAAATTCGTTCATCCACTATTTTTGTTCCTTCAAAATTTAATGATCGGTAATTTGGGATGAGCAATAAAAATTCATTTTTGCTTCTATGAAGGCTTGTCTTGAGTTACATTATTAGTAAGTATTTGTAACGAACAACTTGATTAGAGTAGCTTGTGCCACTCTCGGCAAAGATGTTTATTAGACTACTTCAGGTTATCCAGAGTGTAACGACAAAACTAGAGTGTCGCCTATGCCCGTCGGCATGATGGTGTATTGTGTCATCTGACATCTCCAGAGTGTAAGAACTTCATACATAACACACGTATATATAGCAGAGAGATACATTAGAACAATGGAAAGAGAACAGAAAGAGAAGGAAGGAGAATCATCGAAGCGTGCCATCAATATCGGCACAGTACTGATTATAAATGAGCAGTCAGCTTATTTTGTATTTGAACTGGTTAAAAATCTAGTTATTGGATGCGTTACCATTAAAAATAAAAAATTCGTGTCTCTCTATTTAGCTTTTAGGAGGGATTCTACTGCATATTATCCTCCTTTCCGCCACGAGAATTATGCATCGAAGTTGAAGTTCTTAAATAGATTCGCTGGAAGAAGCATTGATCTGTCGAGGAACTATAAATTTCATGAAGCTGCGAATAAGTTCTTTGATAGGACTTGATTACACCCTATATGATTTCGCGGGAAAAGAATTAGCTCAGCGAGGAATCATTTGATGTTAAGAAATTTTTATCATAAGCTTCCAAACAATAATATATCCCATATAGATCTGGGTAATAGTCATTTAGTAGTGTGTGGCACGATTTTCAATCAGAGATGTCATAATATCCTAACACTGGGTATCGTCGACATACCGGTCACGATATCCATTCAAGTGGATATCTAAAATGGATAGTAAAATAAATACCCATGTTCCTCATAGCTGAGGAATTTGAGTGCATTTGGTGTAACGAGATGGGTATCGGAAATTGATACCCTGTTGTAGGAATACATGACTTTATAATTATAAATAAGGAAACGTGATGCTATGTTAAAATTCATTGTATTCATGTAGTCCGCTTTATGCCAATGTTTATCGATATGTACAGATTTGTTTAATGAATATTGCTGAGAGCGTGCAATTGCAGGTAAATGTTCGTTGAAGAACTTCATTTTCACCTGATAACAATTTATTAACACTTTCATCACAATGACTCAAGGGAGTCAGGTTGAAACTGTAGCATGCTGCGTAGTTGGTGTTGGTGTTGTTGTGGATTGTCACATGTATGTTATGTGAATTGTGGCTTATATTAATTTGTTTGAAGTAGGATCTGGTAGTAGGGAAATATTCGTGGATACCCATCTCGTTACACCAAATGCACTCAAATTCCTCAGCACTGAGGATACGTAGATATCCATCCAACTGGGTATCCTATCTGGGTATTCATCTCGATACCCAAGTTGTGGATATTATGACATCCCTCCAAAAAACAATGATTATGATATTAATTAGTCCTATCACATATAGAATATATCCACTTGATAAAATCGATCCAAGGATAATTGACATTGAGATGTATATGGATGAATCTTTTATAGAAGATTAATGTTCCACAATATGATAAATGGAAAAAAATCGTCAACTTTAAAAAAAATAAGCTCCTGTAGCCCCTCACATATTCCAGTGGTGTAATTTCAACTGAATTCAAGTTTCACGTTTGACACATATGACATATTCAGGTGAATTGCCAATTTTACTTCGTGAATAAACGAAAATCTATAGTATCACTATAAAAGCTAGAATGAAATTTAAAGATGCGACAGATCCGACGTAGAAAAGACAAAGAATAATTTTAGAATCTTGTAAAAAGTACATAAACGAGAAGCTAAAGTGAGTTTATTATCGTTTGCACATGTTAATCTTAGAGTTCAGAAAACAATCGGAGCTATCATATTCGAGTCAGATGATTGGGTATCTGTTCACAGCTCCAATTGAAGTTTTTCTGTGACATCTTGTAAATGATGAACCATCTCATTGAAAACACTGAGTGACGATGTATGATGGTGTGGGTGCTAGTTTATTGTTACGTGAAAGAAGTGCACCCACACCCTCAAGATTCAAATGCTCATTTTAGGTGGAGACGAGATGATTAATCACGATGGTGTTGGTTCTGGTGTGCTGGATGCATTGCCATTTGTTTGATGAGCGTGAAATTGATTTTTTGGATTTTGCTGCTCTGGAGAGAACTTTCTATTGACTCCAAAATAATCAATGCCCTTAACTTTCAGTAGTTGCATTTTCACCGCCTGATTCCAGTCTCATGAAACAACAAAAAATAATCAAGGCGCCGATTTTTCTTTTGGCAGTGTTTGGTGGATTATTTTGAAAAATAAAATGTATTTTTGTCTGGTAATCGATAATATTTGGAACAGATTTTTTTTCTTCCCACAAAGATCGTATTTATTACCAATGCACCATTTACATTTTCCTTCATATTGTCATTGGAAGAAGAAGAAAAATAAGATGTACAAGGGTATCGCTTTGGTTATTTTAGCCATTTTTGGGGGTGCAGCAGCTCATACACATAAAATTAATGCTCAATCAAGTCATATTAGACATTTTTCATTATCATTGAAAGAAGAAAATAATGCTAACGATTTTTGTCGAGATTGTGTTGACACATTTGATACTTTAATCTATTTGGTTCTCGATGGCATTTTTGAATTGAGTATTATCAATACATGTGATGATATATGTAATTATGTTACTGAAAAGTCTGGATCACCTGTTCTATATGCTATTTGTGCAGTTGGTTGTGATGCAGTGGGAATTAACGAATTTATTAAAATAGCTAAAGAAGTTGATCTGGATCCAATTTATTTTTGTGAATCATTAAAAGTTTGTCCAAGTAAAAGAGAATATATTATTTTTATTAAATTTGAAAAAAAACACGATGCTTTTTTTCTCTTGCTTTAGTAAATGATAATGGTGATGCTAAGTTTAAATCATTTGCCATTTTACCATCACATGCTCAAGCTTATAGCACATTTATTCTTGATTTTGCTTATGGATCTGTTAATGGAACTGGTACCGGTCAATTGGTTATCAATATTCAAACCGTTGATGACATAGAAATTTCGACTACATTCTTGATTGAATCATTAAAACCAGGTAGATATGCTGAACGTATTAGTATTGATACTAGTCCAGATCCAACATGTGATCCTGGTACCGGTAAGAAGTTATTTATTGTTTCAATTTACAAACGTAGTATATATTCTTCAAAATAGCACAATGTGAACAATGGTATCCGGGCCTATATAATGTTACTGTTATGATTTGTAATGGAGAGTGTGGCTCACACCATCCTAATAGTCAGCTGTATGATATGGTTAATGGCTCATTTCGAATTGATAAATAATAATAATAAGCAAGGAATGCTAGTCGCCACAGCTTGATTTTGGCATTGGCTGAATTTTATCTTAGTATTATCTTTCGTTTTTGGCCTGATTCCTTTTTTTTTAAATTTCGCTAAATAAATGCATCTTTACCAAAACAAAACTAGTGATAGCATCAAATCTTCAAGTTTTTGAAGATAGAGAAAATGACAAACAACAATGACGAATTGAATTGCTACAAATGAGTGAATCTATGAATTTATTTTTGAAATAATTGAGAAAAAAATAAAGCAGTGGAAGTTGATTTATGCGGTCAAATGTTAATTGATGTAAGTAAAGTCAGTGTTCAACATCGCATCCAAATGCATTTTTATTGATATTTTTTTAAATCTATTGACCAAATTTATTTGTGATGTTTGATGAGATTATTTCAGCAATATTAAAATACCTGGTATTGGGGTAGCTATGACACACCCACGCCCATCTCTTCTGCCGACAACAAACCTATGCAAATACAAAATAGTATGACTAATACAACAAAGCTCTTCACATCAATGCGAACCAACATTTTTATTTTTATCGGCTGGAGAAAAACAAAAACGGTAAAACAACACATTACTAAAAAGATATTTTATCGTAACTTGTAGATTACTCGTGTTATTTTTCATTTTCATAGATGTCTCTGTCAAAACTCGAATCGCTTCCAAACGAAATACTGTGTGATATTATTGAGAAATATATTAATGGAGTGGATCTACTGAGAGCCTTCAGCTATCAACTGAATCAACGTTTCGATGCAATTATCAGTCGGTCACAACGACTTCGTTTTAATTTTATTCAATGTCACAAAGATGACTTTCGTATCTGCATGGGACTTTTACCAGCCTATATAGACAAAATCGAACAGTTAGCTATATCAGAACGAGAAACACCTGGTCAAGTCCAAGCGTTTCTGTCATTTTTTCCAAGCCTCACCTTATTTCGCCAACTACGAACACTTTATTTTGATTTTGATTGCGGAATTGTCAGTGCTCATCTTATATCTTGGGCTCTCAATTCATTATTAAGCAGCAATATCGAAACATTGTCAATCACAGCAGTCAATATGAACAACGGGTCTAATATCGAATATACTATTCGACGTATGTTTACGTTAGAATCACTTAAACGATTCACTCTTAGGAGCGATTTATATAGATTCGAATGGAGCAATTTGGCGCGACACCAGTCTAATATTCAATATTTGACGATTTCTGGTATGAATTTTGCGCTTGATGATCTCTTTGCTATTTTCAAACTTGCTCCTCGTCTTAAATATCTTCATGTTGAAAATATCGATCAAGGATACAACCGCTATCATGATACAAAAATAAATCTTAAAATGAACAATACCACAGCATCTGCACTACATACTTTGATTTTGTCATTTCCAAAAGACAGTTCCGTCACGATTCAGATGTTAACACCGTATTTTAATCGTATGCCTATTTTAAATCGTCTTGAAATTAGAGCACACGGTGTATTAATAGATGCTGACGCATGGAAGATATGCTTCGAAACATCATTACCATTACTCACTCATTTTCACATTCGAGCCACCGTATCTGGTATAGAAAAAACTGGAATCGAAAATGTGCTCGCTTCCTTTCAAACTTCATATTGGATAGCGAAGAAAAATTTCAATATAATGATAACTGAGCATAACAATCGACTTCGCCCTATCTCTAACATTGATAGCATAGCGCTCTTAAATAAAACTGAATTCGATCAACCAGTTACTTGCTGTTGGACAGCACCTGATCGTACTTCTAAGAATGAACTTGTGAAAGTCAATACAAATATCAGTTGGCAACTAGTAGACAGCAATAATACTATATTGCATAATTACTACTTTGGCAATGTGAAGAGTCTGCTAATGGATAATATAGAACAATCACTGATGCCATGGTTAACTAAGTATGTAAATTGTGGTGGTATCAAGGAACTCATTATTACGGCTCCAGAGAAAAAAGCCGAAACATTAACTAAATTAGTTTCATTTGTCACGAATATTAATTTTCTTTATATAAGCTTCGATCTGCTCGTAGTTAATATAGGTGCTTTTAAAGCAACAAACATGCGTGTAAAGCACCTTGACATATCTCATTGTGAGCATACTTTCAACGAACAAGATATTATTCTTATTGGTAAATGCTTTCCATATCTGGAACATCTAAATATTAATACAAAAAGCTTATATAATGTTCCATTAATCAAGAAATATTTAAAATATCTTCGTAGTCTGACTTTCGAAACGAAAGACTATTATATCAATCGTTTTGACGAAGACTCAACGACAAGGCGATCATACGATTTACAGAAACAAACTCAATTTCTTTTTTCTATAAAGGCTTCTAAAATGACGGTTTGGATGGATAAAACTGCATTTGACGATTCCTACTGGCAAACTTTTGCTCCTAAACCATTGGGAAACAAGAGAAAAAACAGCCCTTTTTCTCGTAAATGATTTGAACGGCGGCATGAATAGAATGTGTGTTTTTTATCAAAAGCTTGATTTTAAATAAAGTTACTTAATCTTGATCTTGACTGAATAAATTGAAAGATTACTGGTGCGAATTTCACCTTTCTACATATTTTGAGGCTGTGGAAGAGTCCCAGTGCGTTTTGACCCCTTTCTCAATCAACACTCACCCACACCCATTTTTGTATTTGCATTATTGGGATCCGAAAGCCTATGTTGAAACTTTGTTTCCTATATCAGATTGTAGAATAAATGCTGTCCTACAAAATGCACTATTTGAGGCTGTTTTTTATATAGAAGCATCTTCCGAAAAGATGCTTATAGGTTCACTTTACAAAACTACCACATTCAACCGTTTTTAGCAGCTTTGAAAAATGGGCTTACGGGACTATCAAATGCCTGTTTGTTCGTCACGCAAACAAATTTTTATGGAATTTTCATCGATTTTGTCGCAACTCTTGCACAACGACAGACACAACATTTTTGAACCCATATTCGGAAAGACCACAATATTTCGATCCTACCTCATAGTTTTCCACGCAACTAGAATACTTTGAGATGGTTGAAAAATGAATAAAGGTTTTGCGCAGAAACTTTTATTTATTTATCAATGCTAATGAAATACTTTGAATAGAAATAGTATTAGGCTTCTAAGATAATTTACAGGAAAAATAAAAATGTCTCTTTGTTCATTTTATTAACATAGCACCGGGGTATAGGTATAATTTGTTTTGTTTATTACACCGTTGATAGCGTTATTTGATTTTCGTTATACGCTGATTGATATGTATCGTCAGCAATAGTTTTTTGCGCATTTGAGCTTTGAAGATTAATTGTAGTAAATGTTGATTGTGGATGTTTTGAAAAAATATTTGAAACATATTGAATTAATGTTAATCGAATTTTTTTACCAAAAACAAAATAAAGTAAAAAGTTTGTTGATATATAAAAAACAACTAATATAATTGTAATGGTATTTAGTATAAGAAATTTTAAACTTTTAATTGAACCATGTGGATCAATAACATACCAGACGTTTAATACAGATAAGGATGTTTGACAAAAACAAACGCAATTGTGATACATACGACCATTAACGTTATATGATAATCAGTCTGTATTTTCTCATTTGTTGCTTCGCATAAGCTTTGTTTCTGGCGTTTTGTTTTAATTAAATGCTTTATTACTGCTATATTGATACATGTTAATGTAGCAATTGGTATCGCATAAACAACTATAATAGTATATAAATATATATTCTTATATATTTATGAATTTTTTACCTATATTTGTAAGATGACATTGTTTTAATTCTGGTACATAACTTTGTTCTAACAAATACGGTGTGCAATACACAATAGAAAAGATATAAATGAATAATATCGTCATTAAAGTGACTCGTTTTGTTAATATATGTTTTGATTTTGATGGAAATTTAATTGATATGAGACGATCAATTGGCAAACCTATTGCTAAACATATAATTGATCAGAGTATTGTATTATATACGACCGTAGTTGGTAAACGTGTGAGAAGAATTTCCACTGTCAATACAGGTTGTTTTGTTATGTATGCGCTATAACCTAGTAAATATCTTACAGGATAGGACGGGATAAATATAAGAAGAAAAAGAATATTTGAACATGATAATGCAATTAAATACATATTTGTTGATATTATACGTAATGATGGTGACATTAGCACAATTATCGTTATAATATTTCCGACGATACCAAATAAACTTAATGCCAAGCAAGCATGTCCCCAAACAACAAGACGGAAAAGAATAATATAATTAAGACTACGGTCAACGTTAGGATTGCTCGAATTACTCGGCATTGTATTTTTTATTAAATTTATCGTAGCTTCTATTAACTAAAATCTAGAATAGTAGAAAATAATAGTGATTGTTAGGTTAAGTCGAGGTTTTGATCCTCCCTTAGGTTTCAGCGTTCTTAAACCATTCTAATATTTTAGATTCTAACTATAATAGTACATATAATTATTATCGATCTAAGAAAAGGAAACTACGACAGATTGGCACATACTTATCGTTTCTATAATTAACAGCTTAGATTGATTGTTTACGAGGAAATCTTTCGTAACAACTTCTATTTAGAATCGCCATGGATGGTATAAATTATGCGGATTAGCTCAAGCGTCTCCATTCACACCATATGTTTGACCTTTTTTCTTGTCTAAACGGTATGATAATAAATTGTAAACAAATTCATTCGCTTTCAATTGTGTTTTCATGCAAAAAACATTTTCTCGCTCATCAAAAAAAAAAGACTAATAAGATAGTTCTTACTTTTTATATATGAATGTGACGAAACTGTGATTAGAATAAGCGAAAAATATATTTCCATGTGTTAATTTGATAAGAAGAATAGAGATTTGGAATGCACTGAGACAGAAAAAAAGGTATGATAGTAATAATGTTCATTACGTGTGGAACATTTAATTCTATGATACCCAATGTCGTAGGCTAGCCATTTGTTTGGTTCTATATAATATTCATATTTCCGATGGGCTAATCTCTTCGTTTATTCATGTCATCAATAGCACAGAAAACATCGTAGACATACTTATTTATATGCAACCAGGAAGGAGAAGAAGAGACGGATACAACAAGCAGAAGATAAAGGTCAGACAAATCAGGAGTAAGCGCGCATTTTCGCACATGAAAACTCCTATGAATGAACCATTGTGTGATTGGTTAGCGATAACGTTAGAGTTAAATGTAAAGTATAGTTATTTTGATATTGTGACAATAAATAAGGAATTGTTTATTAGCATATACAATTATAGACAAATCTAGGTTAATGCTTACGATAACGAGAAATAGTAGTTACAGGTTAGGATTCGTAAGTTAATTTGATCCCAAAGTTAGTAATGATAATTTTTTTGTTCGTCTTTCATTCTGAAAATGAATAACTTCCTAGTTGCTACTAATCTATCAGTGGCGGTTACATCCACACCCTCAAAATAAAAAGGGACCGGCAAATAAATAATATAAAAAAACCGTCAGCAATTAGTTTATTGATCTTTGTACAAAATCAAAAATAAATGACATGGGGTAGGTAGTACATTTACTCCTTTACGTTTTTCTTTCATAGTAAAAATGAGTTTTGCACTAAGTCGACACTATCTAAAGAATACAGAAACAAATGTTGATCGTTCCACTGATAAGAAAAATGTTGGCACGTACCTTTGACACAAGAACTTTTATCAATAGGGAACATTCGAATGCGGCTATTGAGTAATTCAGTTACATACAGATTTCCTTGAAGGTCAAATGCCAAATCATACGAATATGGCACTTGAGGGATTCCAATGCCGACACCTTGTTCAGCCATAATGACATTGCCCGATGTAGAGCCATTGAACCAACGCACGATACGATGATTATTATAGTCAGCCACATAAAAGGTGCCCATATGATCAAGGATCCCAGCAGTGGGTTGAATGATTCCATGTATACGTATTGTTTCTCATTCACTCGTTGACGCAATACTAATCTAGCAATTAACATTATTTCTGAACGTTACCTACTACTCAAATAATCGACACTACTCTCCACCTCATTTGCACCAGCTACAAGAATGCCTTCTTTGGCACCGAGTGGCCATTGCATCACACGATTATGAAGTGCATCGGCGACGAAAACTGACTGATTCTCATCGACGAATAAATGGATAGGTTGTCCGAGTTGATTCAGCGCTGGCCCTTGTCCATGACCACCAGTGACTGTTTGACCACTGGGCCATTTCGTTACACGATGTTCATTGTCGGAGACATACAACGATCCTTCATTGCCCATTGCCAGTCCCCAACATGAGATGTTCGCAATAATTGTTTGTCCGTGAGTGTCATTTTTAAACCATCGTTGAACTCGCTTGTTATTATGATCACAAATAAACATTGTTCCATTTTTGTTAATGACAACTTTTGTCAGCGCAAAATTCAAAAATCGTGTAGTGTTCTTTGTCTTCATTCAGTACGGTCGAGTGTCGAGACTTCGCTGCTTTTACACTTCGAATAACGTCATATGTGATCGATGCAGCACCATTTAATTGGTTAGTCTGGTTGCCTTTCCCATTTCCACCAGCCGCCACTTCACCAGTCGATGCTCCAGACCCCCATTTGACTACTCGATCATTGTAATAATCTGCAACGGAAACAGACGCATCAGCATCCGCAAATAATCCATAGGGCCAAGAGAACTGGTTCAATGCGGATCCATCTCCGTTTCCTCCAGCTACAATGACTCCATTCTGGTTCTATGTCGCATTTGCACAAATACCATCGCTGGGTATCACTGGCGGTTGTGGAGCTAGTAGATAAAGAGACAAATACATGAAATTCTTCATTTCAATTACTTACTCGTCATGGATGGTACTGGTGGGCAGAACATTTGAAGAGTCATGTCCATTGGATAACATATTGGAGCACTGTGCCATCGCGAATGGTTCACACATAGATGGCCAGGTCGATAGCATGTTCGATTATCGTTAGCACACGATATCAATTCGGAACATTTGACATGAAGATAAGCACAGACACCCTCGTTGACAGTATTTATCAGAGGAAGACAGGCGCATGCAGTGTTCGATGAGCATTGATTGTATTGACTGGTACCTTGACATATCTGAGCTCTGGTTTCCTCGAATACGCTAAGTAGTGGTGGATAGAGAAAAGTATAAACAATAGAAAACATACATGTAAGACTAAAAAACTCCAAGATTACATCGTTTTAAGATCATTATAGTATATTACTTACCTAATAATCACCAACAACAAGATGCTTTTCGACCACACCGTCTTCATTAGCTTGTTTCTCTTTACTTTACATTTCTCACTCTGTCATGTATCCACCCATGATGAGATTGAAACCATCTGGTAAGCAATCAGAGAGAAATAGCATATTTCGTTCTTTTCAATAATAGATAATGCGACGATGACAGTATGAGCAAGCGTAAGAAAAGAGCTTATATCGATTGAAACACATTCACATGGAATTTCATAAATGATCGACAGGCAGAAATGAAGAATGTGAGTGTGATTCAAGAGAAGATAATTCATTGCTCAAAAATATTTTTTCCGAAATACTTTTGTTTTCTGGATTGGGCGGAACAAAATACATTTCATTCAACATATTATAGCTACATTTAGTCGCCCGCATAAATGTCCATTCGGAACGTAGAAATGTAAATACTGAATATAGGTCTGAACAATTAAACGCAATTTGAATTATTGTTCAATGAGACCTTCCTCAATTTATGTTGACTCACAACCATCCACACTCGCCCCCGGTTTCTACAAGTATTAGTCGTTGGTTTATGAGTTTGTGGGGAATTTGATAACAAACCAATCAGTTGCAGTGAAATAATCACATAGGGTACACGTATTAACGTGCCAGTTTCAAACGCGTACAAATACATATCAACAAGAAAAGAAAATAACTGATCAGCTACTCGAAAATACTAGAGCAAACAACAACTATTAGTTACATACAAGTCTGTGATGGTTAATCACTATAAAACATCATCAAGGAAAAAAATTGGCTGAAATGCCTTTCATGCGTGGGTTTTTTCACTGACAATTTTGTTTTCAATGTACGCCATATCGGACAAGGCAAATCGAATATATATACATGATTATTTCAATAAAATATTGTATTTATTATTTTCCAAAAAAATTAATTAACAATGACTTTTTAAAACTTGTTAATTGGATATGAAGAACAGCGCGTTTTGATCACTGTTGATATATACAATGCTATTCGCCAATATCTCTTCTACAATAATTACGAATGAAATTTAATACAGATTCAGCTGTAAAAATGTCAAGAATATTTATATTCATTATGTCTCATATTAACGATTAAGATTTGTCTACGTACTGTTATTTGAATCCTGATCGTTTGGATTTACGGCTTTAGCCATAATCACTTTCTCAAAGAAACGTCAGCGGATTTGTAATAAATGACATGTCTCTGGGATAACTGCGTATGCTGCCTTATGACGATCATTTATCTGGCTATGTATCATCCTCAACGTAGCTCTTTTGTGAAGAAAGAATTGCGTTTAGTTTTCTCAGAGGTTATTATATTCAATTGACGATAAAAAAAACTGTAGTGTTTAGTCTATTCGAAAATAATCGTACATTTACTCTAGTTAGATGAATTAGAGAGATTTACGATGCATGATCAGAGAAAAAGAAACTTATTATCACAACCACTTTGAGGCTAAAATGGGGAACACACAGATATGATTTGGCATCACTTAAATGATGCAAAAATAAGTTACGTGAAAATTTTCGGTAAAATCTCTAATTAGCGAGGACAAACTCGATAGGCGGTTTTAGTTTTAACTTTGAAGGGTAGCGTTTTAGAGGAGAATACATATGAAAAAGTCAGTTTTATGATATGTTCGTATGCTTTTTTAGATGTTTCTGAAAACACTCGTGTCTGATAATATAGCTTCAACTTGGGTTAGAAATAAAATTCTGAATGAAAATCAAATTGAGAAAAGAAACTCTTCAATAATTGGTAAGAAAGTATGGGGACATCGCTACGCATATAAAAATGAAAATTAATAAAATTTTATGCAAGGAAGTAAAACTCCCACACAAAGGTAATTGATTGCCACTTAGTATTTTGTAACAGTTAGTAATGACAGAAGAAAGATGTGACATTGAAATATATGAAAATCGTCAAAGAACAACAATTATACACATAACTGACAAAAATTGGAGACAATATCAACGTAAATATCTACTGTCTGAGCCATCGATGGAACTGATATCCACTCGTCTACTCCATGAACATTGCCTCCAATTGGTCCAAATCCACATATCGTTGGAATACCACTGCCAATTAACATATATCCTTCGTTAGCTGGACCGCATCCATTGGTTGTAGGAATAATGTTGAGTACCCTTTTAACAGCATTCACACACGAGAGAACTAACGGATGCCTTGAATCAATTGTTGCAGCTGGTAATTGATTTTTAATTGTAATAGATGCCGATAATCGAACAGATGAGGTTGTATCGCGTGTCATTTTATGATAAAACTCATTTCGTTCATTAATTATAATTTTCGTAATGTCTTCAATTTTTTTCAAAATATCATCAGCAGACGTTGATGGCATTAGACGAATGTCAACCATAGCTGATGCATTCGACGGAACGACAGATGCAAAACCACCACCATTTAAGATCGTACCTATAATCAAACTCTGGTTATTTCTGGACAGATTCATTATTATTGTCTATTTTAAAATGTCGATTATGTGAGGAAGATAGAATGATCATATCACTACATGAGCGATAATAAACAGAATTTAATCGTACCTGGAGTTACGTTCAATGTTAAATCAGGAAATGATGGATCTGTATCGTTGCTCCACGCATAATCTTCCAATGCTATTAAAATTCGAGCTAAAGCAGTTGACTATTTGAAAGCAACACATCAAATTAGATATAAAACAAAAATACAGAAACGAACCGCATTAGCTCCTTTCGTTTTAGTATTCCATTCTACAGTTCCCGTATGGACGTTTTCACCCTTGACGTTAATTTCTAGTCTTAACAATCCTCGATGTCCAATGGTGACATTGATACCTGGATAAACGTAGATAGCACCAGAACCTGAAATTAGCTTTCTATCTAATAAATGACGAACACCAATGGATGAACAAGCACCACTTTCTTCATCAACGACACATGCTAATTGAATACTCACATTCAAGCTTTTCTCTAAATTATCATGTATATTGCGAAGACGTTTATTTATCAAATAATCATCTAACCATCAATAAATTGTTGAAGCAAATACAATGCATATAACGCACAGACAATTCCACCTTTGTTGTCACATGAACCACGTCCGATAAGTCGTTGAGTTTTGTCATCAATCGCACCAGCGAATGGTGGAAACGACCATTGAGTTTCATCTTCAACATTGACCGTATCCATGTGACCGACAAACAAAAACTTGGAAGGACCGTTTCCTAAAATACATTTAAACTGAATGGTAAATTTTACTTGTAAAATAAATAGTGAGACATGCCAGCAGTAACAATTACATTTGGTCGATGCTCTTCATTGGGCGCTGATACTAAATCACATTTTAATTTTAAACTTTGGCATTCAACCAAAATTCTTTGAGCAACAAAACGTTCAGCATCGATTCCACAAACTGACCGAATGCGTATCAAATCGCATAAAAATGAAGTCATTGATGATGTGAAAGACGACGATAAGTTAGAAGTCATTTTCTGAAAAGAAAAGTCATTTTCAAGTACTGAACATCACCACTTATAATTTTTCATTGCAATAAGAATAATTACCTAATGGGATATTATATACTATAAATTGTGATGCAAAAGTGCTATTTCTTGAGGATGTGAGTGTAGGTGTATAAAGCACTGCACACCCTTTAAAGCATCGTTTGTGATTGTTGCAAGTAGCTGCATCAAATGCCTACCATTTATTTTCTTTTGTATTTAACTAAATTATAACCCAGTAATGTTGAACTGAGAGAAAATCATTATGGAATTATGTTTCCTTTGCATAAAGTAGTTATTTTTAACATGATAATCCAAAACAGAATCAAATTTGAGTGCTCACTATTTTTGAGCATAATGAGAAATAGGATAATTTATATAAGTGACTATTGAACGTTCCTATCGTTCTGAAGGTCGTATTGAAGTATGTATCAAAATGTTGATTTCGTGCATGCATCGCAAAATCACACAAGATTTAGATAGAAAAAGTGAATGGTTATATAGCTGACGAATGATAAGGACGCTAAAGTCCTGCTGTCTGTTAGCGACAAAATGCACTATAATATTATATTACACCTAATATAGTTCGATAAGAAATCGATGGACGATAACTAATTTTCTTGTAAATAAGTGCGACAAAAACAAAGAAGATTTTTAGTATAGTAGTAACAAGTAGAAAACGTGTGAAGCTCTGTGGCCTCGGTGTGAGGACATTGGCGGCTAGCTTCTACCTATAACTACATCTCTAGATCAATACCGTGAAGAGAACTCTAGAATACCTCGATTAAGAGTTTATTTGTCAGAGATTCTAATTTTATCTTTTCGCTTTTTTTTCCATTTCTTTGAACATGGCGTAATGAACGATGGAAACATTCTTTTTTCCTCTTTCTTTTCTATCACGAATCAATTGTGCAAAAAAATTATTTTTGCAATGACTCTATCGTAAGAATTCTACTGTATGATGTATTCTTCTTCAGAAGTTATTGAAAGGCCAATTGCCTGTACCATTCTATTTATCGTACTTAAGTTACTAATTACACTAACAAAAATTCATCAGGATGATATTTCAATTTTCACCAAATTTTGCAGGGAGAGATTGAATTGATTTTTACCAACCATGGAAATATTCTGCTGCATCAACACTAATTCACATACTCGAAGATATACGTGTACTTGAACATTCAATTTAAACGTTGTTGAGCGTGCTGTTTGATGATTTCTCGTCGATACTATTTGTAGAAGTAGGAGCTGTAAAAAAGAAAGAAAACGTAATGGCATTGTATAGTTTTTTCTTTTTTCATTTTCTCGTCCTCCAGTTGCCGTGGTAATGTACGAGTAATATATTAAAGTGTAGCAAGAGTGGTATGCGCTTCGCTTACTCTGAACACGCGACAATGGCAAAAGCGTCTAGTTCTTCAAGAACTCGTATTGAATGGTTGTGGAAATCAAATAAAGATCCTTGGTCATCCACTGAACCAGAAGAATGGAGTGTCTTTTCTGATGTTGAAATAGCAATCATCGAAGACGGATTTCAAAGAAAACTGTCTGAAGTTTTGCTTGATAGTTATCACATCGATTTCCAACGCTCTGTTCAAATATCAAATGTTAACGCAAACCAACAACGACCCGTTAAGCGTATTGATAAGACCAGGTCCACAGCTGAAGTAAGGCTCAGAGAGGCCAGATTCATGCCAAATCCAATTAATCCATCAACACCTTTCACAGCACAGACTAATTTATTGATGTTTTTCGGCGAATTTTATAAACATTATGATATCACTAATGACCAAAACCTCAACGATCCAAACACTATTCGAATGTTGATTGAAAAAGCTGCCGAAGGTATTATCATTGAAGGAAAGCTGGTAGGCAAACAGAAGGAGGCCGAATGGATAGCAGAGCAGCTCTTAAAGATGAAAGATGCAAATCAGGACGAAATATGGCAATGTTGCGCTCATATTTACACGATGGAATCCTTTTTGTATCAGAAAATGAATGAATACATGAGATTAGCAGGTGACAAGCAACATGAAGAACTGTGGAAAAGTAAAATTTTAACATTTGGCCCTTTTGCTTTTCTTCTTTCTGCACTAAAAACTACAAAAAAGTACAGCAAAATGACCGTCTATCGTGGTGCTAATTTATCCGACGATTTAATTAGCAAATATAGAGACAACTTGGATGCGTATCTTACATTTCCAGCGTTTACATCAACAAGTCGAAATCGTGCGAAGGCTGAACAATTCGGAAACGTTCTCTTTGCTATCAATATCAGTACTTTGGATGGAGCCGATGTTTCGTCATATTCCGCCTATCCTGACGAAGAAGAAGCATTGCTCTCATTCGACTTTGCCTTTTATATACGGTCATGCAACTTTGATGCTAACAGAAACAAATGGGTCATTGAACTTTCTCCGTAAAATATCATTTACATGCGCGATGGTTCCTTTTAAGAGTCAACCAAATTTACACGTAATCAGTCTCGCTTCATTTTTCTATTCAATAATTTTCCAATGAAACCCCACAAAAATAAATCTGTAGCGAGGCTATAGTCAAATTTTCAACGCTATGCCATGACATTTAAAGATTATATTTACCAAAAAAGCGATAAAAATAACTCGTTTAGCAAGTCAAAATTCTTCACAATTAATTGTTCTTTTAAAAGGGCATCTCAGGGTGCATACTATGATAAAAAATATATAGAGAATCTTCGGTTGTTCAATGAACAATTTTTGACGTTTGGTTTCTAAATATCTCCCTCAAATGTCATGACATAGTCTTGAGAAATTTTCGAGAGTTTTTCTACGATAACTTCAACATATTCAGACAATATCATAAGATTTGAATGCGCCTGAGCGAAGATTGATTATAATAAATGATCAATGGTTTCAAGTGACTTCAAACAACAGAAGGTTTTTCTTTTTGTGACTAGCATTCAATTTTATTTCTAGATGAATAAATTCTAGACTATGAACATGTGCCCATATAATTGTCCAAGACAATTCCGCTATTTCAATGTGAATTTGGTAAAAGAAAATAATTGAAGCTCCTGAATGGTGACTACAGAATATACGCAGTTTACTACGACAGCATGCACTTATTTGTTGATACTCTTCCACATAACATGCGATATGTCTTTTCCTATTTCCCATCGGATAACAGATATTCGCTCATTTATTGAGTGCACCGCATCTAGCTTTTATTCAAATCACATGCCGGTTAATTTTAATGTTTTCCTTTCTTTATGTTAGACTCGCGCTTTGTGTTACTCTCAAACACAAAAGTGCATAGTGTAGATACGTGCATCATTTTTTTCTGAACTGCGATTTATCAGAAGGATATAGGTATTGGTATGCAATTTGTCTTCATAAACGCCAATTGCAATACTCATCTCCATACCTTCGGTTACTTCAGTAAGTAACAGAGAACTGAAAGGCCAATATCGTGTCTGAGTAGGAAATCTAATTCGAGGTTGCTCTTTCAAATTATTTTTACTTTCAGAAATGAAACGAAATTTGAAATTTCTTATTGCTACATGTCATCAATCATTCTATCCGCGTAGTGTAAGAAATGGATCATTGTTTCATTATTCTTCTCTCTTCATTTCTTTTTATCTTGCAGCTTCAAATTTCTCTCATCCCCTCAGTACTCTGGTTTCTTTGTCTATGTCCTGCTTAGCTGCGTACCATTTAGCATGAACGATTTTCTCTGTGTTTGTAATAGAAACTAACTTTTACAATATTTTTCGTCTCAAATATTGAGCAATTTTTAAATATTTACCAACACAAGAAATCAATTAAAAGCAAGTTTTTATTTCTGTGCTATGCAATGGGTGTGCATGTGGGTGAAGACAATCTCACACCCACACCCTTTTGATTAATCTCAATAATATAATGGACCGTAAATATTCATTTTGGGGTCAGAGGGATAGGAGTACGGATCAGTAGACTAAAATTCTGATTCTATCCGTAAAAGCATGAAACTACCGCTGGTTTTTCTCCGATTCGACTCACATGGGTAGTTTATATTTTCTTTCTAGATGAAGTTATTTTTGTTTTATTATCGATATCTTTAAAAAATATACTTACGTCACAATAATTTAACAAAATACAAAGAACGACCGAATAAAAATTGCATGTTCATCGAGCTACTGATCTGCGAAAACGTATATCATCGAAATCTTTTGGATTGCTTCACGATCGACATTCAGGCATCACAAGTTCACCCCCACGGAAGATCACACACCCTCAAGAAATTCTTATATTTCGCCGTCTTAAATTATCGCATAGATTATTAATTAGCTCTATCTATTTATTTCATTTCAACATGCTGTCGATTAGAAAAACAAAAGCACATGCCATTTATAAGTTGTGTTCCAAAGAAAGATGAATTTTCAAAACTGAGCAATATTCCTAATAAATTTTGGCAGATTCCACAAGACAAAAGCGAGCACTGGCATACGCATATATGTGTGAACGAATTGATGAAGTTATTAACCATTCCCTGGTCGAACAATACGGTCCGTGATCCAGAACGGTGTTTTACGGCGAAAACCTGTGCGTAAACGGTACGCATACAGTCTTACACGGCCATATCCGGCCCGCATCTGGTGACCGTATTCAATCACCCGAGTTGTCGATCGTACGCATTAAAAAATTACAGATAGGTACTAGTTCACGTAGTAAACCATTGTTAGCAGAGCCAGTTTGGGGCGGAGATGTGAAACGCACATATCATGTTCGCTGCAAGCCGGAGTAGTCAACTGATTATTTTCTTCCAACATGCATGTAAAATCGATAGAAACAGGAGAATAATCAAACAGTATAAATGTCGTAGTCACTGAATTGAATGGACGCAGTCAAGTAGGCGTTTTCTCCGCAACTACAGAACGCAATGAATATTATGAATCATGGAATTTTATCAGTTATTGCCGTTGTGACAAACATGTTTTCTTCCAGAAGGCACGACGAATTTTATGTTTCGACAAGAATGAAACAAAATTTTCAGTGCAGTTTTACATGCGGACTCGAAAAAAATATCGTCCGAAGACTTTTTCTTTTTCTTTAAATTGATACATAAAAATTTCAAGCGCTTACTTATTTTGTTCTTCCTTGAATTCATTTCGGCTGAATTTTGCAACCACAAAAAATTCTTCTGTGAAACAAGAATAATGTGTCCTGTATTCAGCAAACGATTTTGTTTTAGATTGAAATCTTTGTAAGTAATTCTATTCGTTTTCAATGTCGGATGATGATGATGGTTCAGAAGTAGAAATCGACATTAAAAGTGACGATGAAGACAATGACGTTCTTATCAGTCCCAGTAAGTAATCTATTGTTTATTATAATTAAGAGATGAGATATTTAATTGTTCTATTATTTACTAGTGCCTAAAGAATATGAAAACGAAACTGTAGCTATTGAATCATTTAACAAATATTTCGGAGAACATTACAATGATTCTCCGGCATTCTTTATGGGTTCTCTTCAGCAAGCATGCGAAGATGCATTCAGCTCAAAATTGATGATAGAAGTCTGTTTTAAAACTGCTTTTATGACTTAACAAAACAAACCAATGTATTTTAATTTAGCGTCGTCCAGTACTTGTTTATATCCACAATGAAGTTTGCCTGAACAGTGAACCATTCTGTAAAACTATATTCTCGTCGACAAATATCATCGAATATTTACTTGAAAATTATGTTGTATGGCCCTGGGATGTTACTTTCGAATCGAATACATTTAGGTAAGTGATCTCGAATTTCATAATAGAAAGAATAAAATGTATTTATAAGAACTAAAAAATAGCCATATTCAAAGTAAGAGTTATTTCTCAAAGGGAAATTAAATCGTTTGACATGACGCATTATTTTAAATACTTTGTTAATGAATTAGATTGGAAAAGGTTTGGAAGCAAATGTTCTCCACAGAACTTGATAGTTTTAATTTGCATCGATGTCCGATGTTGATTGGAATCAAGCGACTTTTTGTAGAACATGATAATGGTTCACTAGTATCCCAATATCAATTCAAGATATTGCTTCAAGATGATATTTTACAACAAACCGGACGGAAAGTTGATCGCGGCACCTTACGCAACGAATTGACCGTTTTCAAACAAGAATGTGATGACAATGAACGAGCTTTAGTGAGTTTGTACTTTATCTTGTCACTTTTAATAAGTATAAAAGTCGATACTCCGAAATAATAAGAAATTGAAGAAAAAAAAACTTCTATGTTTTTCTTTTTCATTCAGTGTCAAATACTCGAATTCATTGACAAGAATAAAGATTGGGAAAAATTATTTCCTGAGATTTGCAACTATCTCACATTGAACGATGCCATCCAAGCATTTTCCACTAATATTCTTCCTTTGCTACGTCAAAATTGTACAAAAGTGATGATTTGTGATCCTTCTGAGACATTTATTAATATGATTCTTCGAAAAATCAAGCCTCAACAAATTACTTCCCTATGCCTTAACATGTCTTGGCTTCTAACACAAGCAAATTTAGATTCCTTGCATATTTTTCCTAATGTTACTTCATTGACTGTTATGAATTTTCAACAAATAGATGCGATTGACAATTACACAGCACCATTTCCCAAATTGAAATGTCTTTCGTTGTGGTATGATTATGAAATTAGTTTCAAGTTTCTGAGTATTATTTTCGAGAAATTTCAAAGTTCGATTAATGAATTCAGAATATGTTGTGCCGGAGCAGTTTGCGATCACTCGATTATGGATAATTTCGATAGAATATATGCAAAGAAATCCAATATTAAATATTTTCTATTTGATATGAGCCAGTTTCCGTTAACTTCAATGAACAATTGTTTGCAACATCGCCATTCGTGCTTCTTAAAGTCACTATTTGGTTTTATTAAGGTTTTATACACTGTTCCATGTGTTCGATTGATCATTAATTGTAACGATGCCAAAATATTGTTGGATATTAACGAATGGAGAAATTTGATACGCACTTGTTCTCAGCTGAGAAAAATAACATTAGAAGTCTTCGGAAGCCTATCAGCAGACGTAGAAGTATCGCAGAAAATCATCGAAATTCAAGACGAAATTTTTCTTTACTCGCCGCGCACCGAATTGCGTGTCACATTCAAGTAACGTAATTCTTCCTTTGACTAGCAAAGTTCGTTTATTTATTTTACCGATTTCGCTTTAAACAACAGTAAAACGTTGCTAACTCTCTACTGAACGAATGTGATGTCATCAAATATTTTATATCAGAATCAAAAAATACAAAAATTGATCTATTAATATACAAGAAAAAACTTTTCAAAGAAATCAATAACCACTAAACTATGGAGAACTTACTAGATCCCAGTATTTTATCTATATTGCGTTAAACGAGCTTATATCAATTATACAAATTTAAACAAAATTAAATGGTAACCATCAAGAACAGGGTTACCAACTGTAATCCATTTGGACTTTTCCCTTTACACTATATATATATCAATCAACTTTCGATATAAATCAATGACATTTTTGGCTTTAACTAGCGTTTTTCTTGTGGAGATAAGAGTGTTGATCATATTAGCCGGCTGCCCAAGGAGGCAAAAATTTGGAAAAACGCGTTTAAACGCTCAAAATGGAACCATGATTGTGAGCCATTAGCGCTCATTAAAAAACTGCAAGAAGCACATTTTATGTTCAAAATTTGCACTTTCAGAGCGTAAAAAAAGACGGGAAAATTCAGTTTTCAGCGGTAAAGCGCACTTTTATTCTATAATGTAAAAACAATGCGTTTTAGCACTCAAAAACTGGAGTTCTCCGCCGGCTTCACGCTCTAAAAATGAAAATTTTGAATACATAATGCCTTTCTTGCCGGTTTTTAATGAGCGCTAATGGCGCACAATGACCGTCTCATTTTGAATGTTTAAACGTGCTTTTCAAAATTTTTGTCTGCTTCGGTGGTGATTCAGTCATATGACGCACGCATGGACACCAAGTCGAAACTCGATGTCAACTGAGACAATTGCGGCTGAATGAAAAGTTAGGTTGAAGTTGAATACTAAGCTGAAATGTGAAGGTTATTATTTATTTGTACAGTCGCAACCAGAAATGGTCAAACTTACCAAAAGCAAATAGCAATACCGCCATGAAAGAAAGATCTGCGCCAGTTAATGTGAATACAGAGCGTTTTTTCTAATTAAACATTTTTGTTTTATCTTTTGAACAGAAATATGTTGAAAACAGGAATAACTGCGAGCTCTTTTGTTTGAAAACAAGCATTCCAGATCATGTCTTGCACATAGGCAGTTGAATGTGATCTTTCTTTCGCTAAAAATGCCATTGCCAGCCGTTTCGTGACGTCACTTTCTTGTCTTGTAAAAAACGCTTTGTACCCCACGAGTGTACCCCATGCGTACCCCATTGGAGACGTTCTGTACCTCATTCGGGACCTTAACAGTTGGCAACCTTGATCAAGAACAATTCGACTTGAACCCAGGTTTTCATGATTTATTTGATGACTCATATTTTGAACCCAGGAAAGTGTCTATAAAATGTCTTCTATAACTCAATAACACGCATCTAACATTCGCAGTAAGCATTCATAGCTACTCTTCAAATGAGTTGAGTTAGATTTATTTTTCCGAGAAATATACTGAAATCGATTTAAGATTGCTAGTAAATTATCTAGTTTTGTATGAAAATGGAGGAGAAGATATTAAGATTGAAAATAATAAATGCGTCAACACAATCACGAAGGCGCATAGAAGCATTTGGTTTTTATTTATTATCAACTAACCATTGATCAAGAGTTGAATGTTCATGTTGATTGTCATCATCACATCCATTAATTTGATTCTTCGATATTTTTTTCGATTGCTTCATCTCTTGCTTGTATAAAAGTGATCTCTGTTCAACGTCTCGGATAAAACCATCGTCGTCGATGTAATTTAAATTTCCCTCATTCAAATTTCGTGATACTAGCTGACAGCTTGAACGGCGAGCTCGGTTTTTATTATGTATATGTTTAACTAAAGGATATGTTCCGTAGGTTGGTAATCCAATTGCTGTTCCTTCAGCGCATAGTGTAATACCAGTGGCAACGGCGAGAGGGACAACCAGTGAAGCAGTGCCTGCAACTAGACCACGAGTTGTATAACGTAAAGCACGTTTCTCTGGGTATAAATTATATTTACATCCTAAATAAAACAGATATTCAAATAAGTACAAAGAAATTAAAAACGAATTATTACCAAAAAGAGAATAGCGGTCGTCATGTGAACCTAAAATTTTCATTTGTAATCTTCTTTTTCCGCACCTACAACAAAAATCACACTGGCATTTGGAGCAGCTCATATTTGAACAATCACCAATTTTTGATATAAATGTCTGAAAATAATCTTTAATCTTATTTGAAATCATAGAGGAAAATACTGTATCTAACTTTGCATCGTGGACATTGTTGTACATTTTGCTGATCATCACCAATTCGTGATGTCCATGTTCGAATCATTTGTTCTCCGTCACGATATTCCTCACAAGTCATTTCATGATGCCATGCCACATGACAATAAAAGCACCATTCAAATTGGCAGTCATCACAAATAACATGTCGCGGAGTATTTTTCCTTCCACGAACATTTTGAAGTAAATCTTTATTAATTTCTTTTATTGTACAACATTTAGGACAAGTTTTTCTATGTTCCTCACGGTTTATATCAGCATAACAGCGTGTATATTCTTCCACTAGCTTTCGATTGCAATTGTTTTCAAATAATAATGATAGAATTTCATCGCGAGTAAATATATGTCGACACGATGGACAAAATATACGAATTTGATCTTTAGTAATATGCATAGATAAATAAGAAGAAATGCATGATGAACAAACAGCTGACGAACAACAAGATAATGAATGGTCTGATGTTGTCTGAAGACACAGTTTGCATTTAGTCAGAGGTAAAGATTCTCCGCAAGTATCATATGGCAATGATAATGGATGATTAGACACTACAATAAATACCAATTTTTTACTTTTTAATCTTGAAAATGATCATTATTTTTGTTTGGATATTTGAAATGATAATTTATATCTTTGTACTTCTTAGAGACTATAATAATTTATTATACTATAGCGTAGCTAGATGTTCTACGTTAGAAGGCAGTTCTTGTGTGATATTCGTCTACGAATGTATCTCATTAAATAGCTTCTATTGAAACTTGTGAATGCTTGAAAAAATATTGTAACACTCAAGAACACCAATCAATTTAGATCTTCTGCAGTTATAAGAAAGTCTATTTCATGAAATCAAACTCATGTCAAAAATGATTTATCATATTGAGATATTTCCTCTTCAGTAGTGTTACTTAAACGGATATCAAATTGTCATTATTACTTGTGTCGTCATCCGGAATAACTCGAGATAATGGTTTGGAACCTTTCGGAGACACCGATGCTGCGCAATTTGATAAAATGGATTTGAATTTATTTGATTTTTTCTCAGGCGAATTTGAGTATTTTTTTGGCTGAGCTGTATAATTGATGTTGGGCACATTTAGCGACGAATCTTCATCAGTGGTAGAACTGATTTCAGAAATTAAACTTTTTCTTGTTGACAATCGCGACATTGCAGTATCTTTTAATTTAGATAACTAAAACGGCCAAAGATAATTTCATTGAAATTTATTCGACACACTTATGTCTTGAGAGGATTTGTTTTGTTCTCACTATATTGTTGAAGTTAGCCATCACTTACCTTTGCCTCTGTAATGGACAAAATGAAGCAAAATATCTCTCGTTCGAATGTGTGTTTATTTATCGTTCGCTTTCTTTATGAAAGTAGGAAAAACCAACTGTCGATTGCATAGGTAGACGAATGAGGAAGAAGAAACACGCGACCGATATACACAAACCGGTATTATATAATATAAATTGGAGGTGAAAAATATGCCTGAATCGAAATATTATCCACGTGTACTCAAACAGTCAATCGATGCTGTTGATGAGCGTTTCAGATCGACAAACCATACTCGATCATAGCATCTTGAAGATTTGGGTGTGAGCGTCTGTTTGGATTCAAAAACGTTCTTCACTCCTATCCCTCTCCTTCCTCTGCCTAACAGTTCGTGAAAATAAACACATGGAACTGCACAATCGAAAAATTAGCTTCAACTTCGTTCGATTGAATAGATTTTTCAGATGTTTTATTCAGTCAATGTTTTACTTCATTTTGTCAAATAAACATTGATATGCAACATGACAGCATCATGAATGACATCAAGATTACATGTTTACAAGAAAGCCGTGCAGACTGGTTCGCAGTTGATTTTGTTGTTGTTTCGACTAATTCCACCTCTGTTGCGTTTATTCCCCAATAATCAATGACTGAATTACCGAATAATGTATGCAATGTTTGATTGACAATGGGATTTGAATACAGCCAATCAATGCCAATTAAATTTTCTTTCAAACTGCACGTATAATTGATCGTTTCTAAATCTAAATTCAGCTCTTGTTGATACAAAAATTGAACGATAATCTGATCTGTACATGTTGTTGATTGAAATCCACCTTGTTTGGTATGTGATTGTACGCTAGTGACATGTGCTAAACCTTTCATTTCGATTAATTTTGTACGAATATGTTCAGATTGGAGCCATAGCTGAGTTTGTTGTGCTGAATACATGGGTGAATTATAATCTAGATCTCCGTTCAAAAGCAATGCTCCACCGTTAGTCGATCGAAATATCTGTGGATTCACTTGAAATTGTCCCCAATAACGAGGATTTTTTGTATATAAAATATCAGTAAATATGGATGGAATGGTATAGTTGTATTTTGCTGACTGTACTTCACGACACACTGGCAATGGGCCTGTTGGTGCTAAATAATATTCATTCAGAACGCCACTATTGATGCAAAAATCATTGAAAAAACTAGGATTCGTTTTGAAATTTTCTTCCAAAGTAAAACCAACAAAATCACTCCATACTGTTGTTATACTTAAAACATTTCCATCATCTGGATGTACAGTTGGTGGATCGACTAAACTTGGTGCTAACGATTGTTCTGCTACGGCAATCAAATTTGGTATTGCTCGCGATAGAACTCGTTGATCTTCAGCTGAGCAACGATATAGACGTGCAATGAGTATTGCAGCAAGTGGACGAACCGAAATGAGTTCAATGCTTTGACTAGCAATACTATGAAATAAACTCCAAGTATTCAATCCTAAATTAGTTGTACACGTAGGATTTGTGAGATTAGTCAAGAACTGCATTTGTAATGTTAATGTAACAGTTATAATATCTTCATCAGTGCCAGTGACACGTTTGAAAGCGTTCGCACATGATACATCATTTTGACATTTGGATAAATACAAATAAAATCGATTGTTGATTGATTTGATTTGATTTTGAAAGGCATCCGACTTTTTTATTGACATTATACCGTCGAGGATTATTCCGTCGATCGGTTGTATTTGGCCATTGATCGATTGAATTGACAGATAGTATTGAATAATGCCTGTACCTATAATTCGATGAGCACTTGCGATGAGTCAAAGGTTATACAAAGAAATAGTTTAACTAGAAGATTTTTCTCATGTAATTCGATACTATCAATCAATATGTCTAAAACTGATATTTTACCGTTTTCCTATAATCGTTTATAGTTATTCGCAACGGCTCAGTTTTGATCGTTAATTCAGCACGGCATACATGTATTTAAGTAATCTCAAGTCTTAATCCGAATTGAAAAAAATCGGTTTAGTATTCTCTTCTCGCATGACTACACTCATACAGCTACCCACACATGCAGATCCACCAACACCAAGGGGTGATGTTATGCTTACTACCAATTTATACCTTGACTTAGTCCGTATACATAAGTTGATGTCGACGCTATGGATTGCGATTCATTGATTGAATATTGAATTTGATATTGTAAATCTTGGGCAATATTTTGATTTGTCATAGCATTGATTATTTTCAATGATTCATTGGCAGAAGTTGGTACAGTTGTTTCAATTAATTCTTTTGCGCAATCAATCCATGTTTTCGCAGTATAACAATGAATCGACGGTGTACTCAATCCTGCTCCTCTGTATTGAAATAGATACATTATTGGATGTGTCTGAGGATATGTTTTATGATATTTATCTAGAATAATTTGTCTCAACATAGATACACCAAATGCTTCCATTCCGTATTGAGAACCACCACCACCGTTTACAAGCCAATAATTAATGATGTGCTTGACAGCCGAAGTATTTCGTGGTGGCAAATCAGAAAAAAATAAGCGTTTGATATGTAGATGAGTCAATGGGATAGATCTTGTCGAATTATAGTAAAAACCATCAAAATTATTCGGATCAAATTCACTCCATTCAAGTGGACTAGTCAAATACATACATTCAGCTTGAATAGTCACATTGTTCTCTATTGTTTTATTCAACGATTTATCGTTGAATTCGCAAGAATGCCAGGCCAAAGTTATTGCACATAAATTCAAAATGAGGAATACCTTTAGTAACTCATTCATCGTGTCAGTTTTGTCTTGCTCGCAGTCTGCCGATGTGTGAGTCAATGTAAGAAATAAATTTTTCTTCAACACAATATGTGACTAAAATAGTAAAGATGTGCGCGTTCTGTGTTGTATTACATCAAATATTTACTATTTACGAAGCCTTTCTCAAATAACAACATCAAAAATGCCAGTTGAAGGATATGAGATATAATCAACAATTTTCATCGCAACAAGCACTTATTTTATTTATATCTCTCGAGTATGCATTGATCCTGATCGCGGATTAAAAGGAAGAGGGCGGATGTGAAAGTGACGGCTACAAGTTGCCTATAAAATACTCCTACCCACGCCCTCAAGAGATGTGGAAGTCTATAGTATCATCATATGTGATATACTCTTCCACGGGCATTTGATGAATTCTTTCAGAAATAGTCTGAAGAAAAATACGTCACTAAAATAAAAGTACTTGAAGCACCTTTTCTCAATAATCCGACAGTGAATCAATCATATATTTGCACACTCGATGCATCAAGTCGAAATTTCGTATAATCTAAGTGTTCTTTACTTCATGTGGTATTATCTGATTGCATTGAAACGTTGCCCTTGTTGTGTTATAATAAATCCATTCCTATATATTTATCTACTCTTCGCACTATAACTCTGGTGAATAGTATTAATTGTCTGAACAACTGTTCTTTATTTCTACCCACTATTCTCTCTGTTCGTATTCTTCTTTTTTATTTTGATCCTAACTATAAACTACCAAATTGATCAGCGGCTGTGTATTCACTCTAAAATTTACCGCAGTTGAGTTCATTACATGTATTTATGCATGGTTCGCCAACAATTATTGATGGTAGAAGCTGTGAGATGATTGCAGAGAGAGAGCATATTTGTTCAATGACTTTGACTTTTATTTTCGACTTAATTCCAGTAGATATCACATGACTTTGACATCGATTTTGTGTTTAATGATCATAGAAAATTTGTTAAGAAGTTATGCAACCGTATTCTTATAATATATAAATCTGACAAAATCACTTTTAATTGTGATGAATCTAACGAAAAGTTTTTCTTTTGAACAAATATCATTAATCACTACTTTTATTAATCTTTTTCTCATAATTGTATAAAATTAACTGTCAACTCATATTATAAAGAGCAAATTACTTTTAAATAGTTCTATTGCAATTCGTTGATTCATAAAATTTCGTGCTCGGCTATTTTCAAAAAACTTCAATTTTTGTTAGAATGAATCGAAACTGTCGATGAAAGATAAATTCAATATCTCGTAAATAACTATCCTAATATTTGATACAATAGGAAAAAATTTTATCTCTCTGATTTTAGGTCAATCTCAAAACGAACAACCAAATTCAGTAAGGATGTTCTTTTCTTTCGAACGAGAGAGAGAGAGAGAGAGAAAGAAAGAAATTTTCTTTTTCATTTATTTCAAAGTAGAAAAAGAGAAAGAAACGAAAATCGACAATTCATAAGTCTATTCGATTGAAAATCGTTTAACACAATTATTATTATAATCGGTGACATAAAGATTGAAATATCGATCGAAAGACAAACCAATGGGGATGTTGAACTGATTTGCTCCTTCTCCTCGGCCATTTCCACCCACAATTATAGTGCCTTTTTTCGCTCCTTGAGTTCAACGCATTACACGATGATTCCAAGAGTCTGCTACATAGAGTGTACCCAACGCATCAACGAAAAGTCCATTAGGACAATAAAGTTGTGTCCGATCATTCCCTAAGCCTTGACCTCCAGCGACGACAACACCTTCCTTGTGCATCTATAGTCCATTTCATTACACGATGGTTATTCCAGTCTGATATGTAAACATTCTGTTGTCGATCGACAAAGAGATATGCCGGAAATTTGAGTTGATTGAGACCATCACCTTGCCCATTTCCACCAGCTACGACAGTGTAATTCTTCCCACCCAATTGATATAGTCTTACTTCATGTTTTTTGGTGTCAGAGACGTAGAGATATCTCTGTTCATTCAATGCCAATCCATAACAAGCGATGTTGTCTATGAGTATTTCTCCTTGTGTTGTACCACTACGACGAGACCATCGCACAACTCGTTGATTCTGCCAATCACAAATAATGAGACTATCCGTCTCTTTGTCAATTAATACATCTGTTGGTCGATTCAATTGATTCAATCCATTTCCTTGGTCTTTGCCACCAGCAATAACTTGTCCATTCGTTGTATCATCTTTCTTCCATTGGATGATGCGATCATTCCCAAAGTCAGCAACAGCCACTGTTTGATCGTCATCAACGAAAAGACCATGGGGCCAGAAGAGTTGATTAGTGGCATCGCCTTGCCCGTGACTTCCAGCAATCGTCACTCCGTTCTGTGTCCATTCAGCATTATCAGGAATATCAACTAGAAGAGAGAACGTACAATCAAAGGAGATCGCTCACTCTATCTCTGAAGTGGTAGCGATATTAGGGGAAAAAACTGCTCTCGCAAGTATAGTCTTACGAGGGAACCGCCCGGCGTGATTCAAAGCTTGTAAGCTAATATTTTGCTGACAAGTGAGGGTGCCGGTGTGGATTACGAACACATCCACATTCGTACCTACACCCAGGTATTTTGTACCTGTTCAGCATATTAATAAAAAGAAAATGGCGCCAAACTTTTTCGTTTTATTATTTCGAATTTAAAAAGAATGAATTCTTTTCTGACTGATCATATCTAAGATCGTGAGGTCACAAAAAGCATGCGTACGTTTTTTAGTAAGTAAAAGGAAAAGAAAACTCTCGAAGCACCTCATTAAATATTTCTATATGAAATACAAATTCAGAAAATAGTATTTTGACCCTAACTAAATTGGCATGCCACAAATATACTCTTTGAAAATATATCAAACTACACTACTGTGGTATGCTCTTAACACCTGACTTTATACGAATCGTTATTATCAGACGTCTACTATTACTTGCTAATAATCACTGCTTTTTTCTTTTGTTCTTTTATGATGCAGTATGAAGATGATTTATATTTTTCACTAATGTTTTAATGCATTATCTCTATTAACGCCTAAGTAACACATATCTAATTGATTCATGAAGTATGACTTACATTTTGATGTTGCTTGCGTGGCTGCAAATTGTGCTTCCATGGCTCCTGAGATTGGTGGAGATATACCTTGCGAACTTATATTGGACTGAACTGTTAAATTAGGTATTGAGACTGGTTGAAGAAGATCGAACTTTGGCTTCAATTCTTTGAGTTGTACAATATGAAGTCCGTTTCCAGGATTTAGACATGATTTAACCTCAAATTGTCTAGCGGTTAATAGAAGTATTTCATCCTCATTGACTATAAATGAATGTTTCTTTATGTTCTTGGCTGTAGTGCACTTTATTTTAAAAAGAGTTCTTTCACCTGTTTTGCCAAAAAAATGTTCATTCTCCAACACTCCGATAGTCGAAGTGCATGAAGAAAAACCCCACCAAATAAAAACTTTCCCTTCTGGATAGTCGAGCCATAATTCCTTTTTGACTCCTCGGAAAATTGAACGACGCTTTGATGGAAGTCGAGCAAGTGCAGTCAGCATGAGTCGAAGATAGAGGAACCATGGAACTAGATGTTTTCTTTCTTCAGATCGTAGTGTCATTCAATTTAACATACAACGAGTTTTCATGCGGTATTGACTCGTACGTATAAAGCATAATCGAAGCTGATTCGTCAGTTGTTAAGCCATCTTCTGGATCTTGACAGTTCTCTTTCACTACATATACATTTCGTTCGACGTTTGGTACTATATCCACAAGAGGTTTTACAGCTTCTTCGAGAGATACAAGTGGAACCGTCTCATAGCCTTCGATCGGTGCCAACATTCGTTTTGGCAATTCACCCACGTCGGTAAATCGCAGAGCCGAAGGTTTTTCATGAAAACTACTAGAAGCCATATAAAAATTCTGTATCTAGAACAAAAATTGTTTAAAATATCTTTAACACTCTTTAAACGATCAACAGGTACTCATGAAAACGTAAAGATCAACTTTTCATATTGAAATAAGTGAACTACGGTCAATCTTTGACATCTGCATTCGTTCTTGAGAATGTGAGTGTGTGTGTGTTCTTGTGTGCATATTCCCACACCCACATCCTTACAGAACGATATAGCTATATCGTTCTGCAATAACAACTTTGTACTAGTGTTTGTGATAAAAGCAGGAAAATTAAAAAGTTAGACCAGTAATAGATCGCCAACAGACCAGTACCGGTTCCATGTATGAATTAGACTAAGCAAACGATATCACGCAGGTGCAGAGTTTTCCAGCTGGATTAGAAACTTGAACGGAAAATTGTGCAGTAATGCTATCGGGCAAACAACTATTATTGTTACCAGGATGGTCAGATCAGAAACTTGAAATTCAGAAAAAAGAGTGCTTGTTGGAAATTATTACCTACTACATTCTCACATTGGTATCAAATGCTGTAGAAACGTAAGACTTGTAGTATACAGAGACAACAGAGCACCTCAAATTACATGAAGCGATGTTCAGCTACAGGGAGTGAAACTGTAACAGGAATGCGGCTGTAATACTCTGCATAGCAGAAATGCACATCTCAAGATCATAATAGTCACTCGTTTTTCACCGACAAGAATATGCGTCGCTAGTTGTAAATTAAAATCTTGAAATAGAATTGAACAGAGTAATCTTTTCTTTTTGCTGCCTTCTCACTTATGATTGAACAGTTTGGTATGCAGAAGAGTAAATAATTTCATTTTTTGCATATTTTAAACTGTTTTCGAGAGAATCAATTTTACGAGTGTCACTTGAATCGTACGTTTCTTAGCGAGAAACAACCATAGCAGACATGGTAGTTGTATTGTTGCTAGAAAGATGAAATCGTCTAAATAAAAACAAATTCTATAGCTTCGATGAGTGGAAATATTTTATTTTTCGCGAGCAACGTATAAGATCTAGAGGTGGCACTTTATATTTACTTTACTTATTTACTTTGGAAAAAAATAAAGTAAATGTACCAACCCTAGTTATATCTAACAAAGGATTATTTTAAACAACCTCAGTTAGATAATAATCTTAAGCCATTTTCCAACTTTGATCATAAATCATCTGAAATTTCTCAAATGTCAAAACATTGTCTAATGAATCTTTAAAATTCGTTGACAAATAGTCAGTAACGTTTTTCTTTCCATAAGTCTAATGACTAATTAGGATCGAATGTATACAAATTTTGAAATCGTAATACTTCAACCCTTGTTTTAAATCTTATATTCTTCAAAAACAGGATAGATTATCAATGTTTACTCTGCAAAATGTACACGAAACTGGTTAAGATTAGTTTGATTCTTGTTTTCTCATGCTGATAATTGAAAAAGCTTTCGTAATCATGTACCTTAAATCTAAGGTTTCTAATGACAAATTTAGCGTTGTAGAAGCTGTAACACGTATACTTACATTTTTCTTTGTAAAACTCATTTCCACGAAATAAATCTCATACCAGTAACTAACAAAAGAAGCATGCAGTTCAATATTAAGTGAAAAACTCTAAAGTCATAGCTATATTAAAATCTGTCTTTTCGTTTTAATTTTAAATTTTACGAGGAAGCATGAATGCCAACTATACAGATAAGATCGTCCATCCATTTGACAATTATCGCGTAAGAGCAAATGAAGAACCACAAATAACCGGCGAAGCGAACCAAAAGAAGAATACAATCAAACCCCTTCGAACTATTGGCAATGGTAAATGTCTCAATAATTGAACAAAAATAAAATACAAAAGTCAAAGATAACTTGAGAAAAAAACTAAAAAGATTCATAAATATTTGAACGGAAGTAAATCAAGCTCTTTTCCAAATAATCATTACTCGAAAGATAATTTCATGCTTCATCAACAGTGAGAAAAAATCTTCTATCTGACGAGCTTTTATTAGACCGCCACAAAAATATTTTCGTTATTGAAATATATGGTTATTAACTCTTGATTATTGATGTGGTGACGGTAATTGCAATATATTCATGTAACGATCTACATGCATTGGAGTAGATCTCGAATCTCAAAATCGATTTTTTTCTGCGAGCAAAAATTCCCAGTTTAGTGTCACAGCATTAGTCTTTTGATAGAATTTGAGTATTTTACTTAGCTCTTAGTTTCTGCTAGAAGTGAGATCCCACTAACAGCCATCATAGCCTTCCTCATTCTCATGTTTGTATTGCATACCTACCGCAAATGTAAGAAAAAACGAAATGCAACGAGCACAGAAAGAAAAACCAATTTGTAAACGCATAGTACTCATGAAAATTGCTAGACCGTAGATATGCATTAGAACGATAAGTACCAATCGAGATGTCGCCATCTTATGAAATCACATCGCCAGTAATAATAATAAAAATGACTAGTTAGTCATCGGTTTATTTTCAAATACAAAAAACTCTCACATCCTGTATCTTTCTACAATAATCATGCATCGGACCAAATTGATTTCAAATAGCTTGCTTCTTGCTTATTGTACAATGGCTGTATACAGTCGATATGATACTGCTCAAGATTTGTATGAAAAAATGTTTAAGAAATAAACTTTTTACATGAATATATGTAATGTTTTTTGTATAGACCTCTTCATCCATGAGGTCAATTCTCGAGAAAAACCGGAAGATTTCCATTCTTTGAATTTGAAGTCAATCAGTTTAACTAAGTATGCCATTCTTGTAAAATCCAGCACTTTGGCAGTTATCTGCAATTCGTGTGTAGACTTTCTCTATGCATTTCCATTCATATAGTTGTTGATTCATGGATGAAGCGATTGCACTTATCAAGAATATTTAAGAATAGTCATAAGTCAAGCATCTTCGAAATATTCTCTAGCAATCGATGAGAGATTATAGAGAGCGTATCAGTTATATACAGCCAATCGAGAGTAGTACGTGTAGTCGACAAGAAAATGCACAACAACTTTCAGGACGTATAATTGGTGGCCACGAGTAAGTGTCTCTTTAGAATTAATAAATTCTGAATAATCATGTCTATGCTGTTTACAATCACCAGCAAATTTGATGTCAAGAATCAGTATCTTGTAGACCCCCTTCTGCAGGGAAATATTGTGACTGGAATTCATAGTAAAAATGATACTGAGGACCAGACAAATGTATGACAACGAAATTATTAAAAAAAAAGATAATGATCTTCATAGCTGTTTTATATTCTATTTTTTCTTGTTTATTTCCTAGTGCTCTATTTTCTCAATTCTTATGAAAATTTATCGTTTCCTTCCCTGTAGTGTGTTGTTATTCAGAAATAAAAAGTTTAGTTTTCAAAGAGCAACCAAAGAACAAAATGAATATAAAACCAATCAAATGTATTCGCATCGCAATTAAACAAGATATTACTCGTAATCCGTAAATAAATCATTCGTGAAACCTCGATCAGACATTATTTTTGACTAGAAAATAATTTTATAACAAAGACTTCGTCTTCCTGAGATTGTTCAAGACATTCGGTAGATTTGACTATACCTTGATCACAAAACATCTAATATTCAAATGAGATCAACAATTGTTACATTGGCTATGTCCACACATAAAAATTGACATGATTCTCATAAAATCAGATTGCATAATCGACAAATGTACGATCCATTGACAGTATTGCTGCTTTCTATTTGTTTTTTTTCAGTTTTTTTGCATCAACCGAATATAAAATGCGAGTTAAACATATAGGATTGCTTGAAACAGTCACCACAATTTTATTAGCTTTAGTATCCTTTTCGAAACGAACCACAGAAAGGAGAGAGAAATTGTATTTTGTTTTATGATAAATAGCGTTGTGTTCCAATTTGATCGTTCATTTTACAAATGGATCAGGGGTGAAATAACTAATAAGGCTGTTACTATAAAAGCAGATTTATGCAATTGCTATTAAAATTATTCGAGGGAAAATGGCCGTTTATTTCGCGCAAGAAGATTTCATTTGGAAACTATTAAACATACAAATAAAATAGATCTTTGGAATCTTGATCAAGTTGAAATCTGTTTATCTGGACGTGAAGTTTATCGACGATCATATTTGCTTGATTGTGCTAAAGCATTGCTTAGAACAGTTTAATATTCTAACAAAAGATACAAAACCGTGTTCTTTTCTATCCTTTTTGGTTTGTTTTTGAAAAAACGTCGGATTCACCCAAGTCGAGAATTCCGACCGATGAATCTTATCGAAACGAACCCTAAGTCCAGTGACCTGGAATGCGGCGAGATCATATCGGGTCATGCTAGAAAAATAAAGGAATCCGACTGAACCAGGTCGGGTTTTTAACAAGGTTGTACAATTTATCTACACTGAAAAAAAGTTTCATACGGGACTGAATAAAGGTTCAGAGATGTGCAACGAAATCGAAACCTTCTTTTTTTGAGTTTCGTAAAAATATGGTTTCATACCAAACCGTCTTCAATTCACGCTAAAAATTTCGTCACAGTTACAATACACTCGATCTGTGTGCTTGCACGATTTGAACCGACAAACCTATCCCTTTAGCTGTCCGTCTATCTTATTTACTTGTCATCTTAACGTTAACATACCCACTAACTTAATCCCTTAAAGTGTATTCGAAATCGAAAACAGTGCAAGAATGTAATGATAACATAAGGTTATTTTAATGGAATTAAAATGGCTCATAGAAGGGAAGATTCCTGATGGATTAGGCTATGTTTATTATTGTGAGCAGTTTCAGTTTCGAGAACATTCTGGAAATATCGAAGACTTTCGTTTTAGCCAACAACAACTCAGAGTCGAATTTCGATTCATTATCATACGATTTTTAGATTGAATATACTCGGAGCAACATTTTGGACGCCAACAGGGAATTTCCGCATATTTCAAATGACTTCCGCTTAATTTTTGACGATATAAATTTCCTAGACTACACTGGCTATTCCTGAAAATATCCGATTAGATTTCCAATATCAAAAACAATGGATTCCAAAATACTTCAGGAGTATTGAAATCAGTATTTCAGGAAAGCAAATTGCTTCCGAACCCTCGACAATTAATGCGATATTTACAAAATGTTAAGACATATTCGACAGCTCCTTCAAGAAAAATATCCGATAAAACTTGATTGCCGATTTTTGACCTTGGAAACTCATCGTCGTCTATCTGTTTTGAAAGGACAAGTGAGCAGAAAGAGCCAATATTTCATCCATATATTGATATTCAAAGTAACCCTTGTAGTGAATCAACAGACAGTTAAAGATGCAAGTGTCTTGATTTGTCTACAGTGCTCCATGTACTATATGTATTGATATTTTAATAAAGCGGTTCTTCATCATTTGTATACCAACGATTTGAATCAGCTTCATTTTTTTATCGTGCACAAAACGCTAATCCAACAACATGACATGTACTTGAGATAGGCTTAAAAACGAGGAAACAGATGTTTTCTGGATGATGATGTAAAATGTTAACTGGTATTTAATCAACACAAAGCAATAACAAGAGAATAGAATCAAATTAATCCCTTGTGCTCTTTATTCACCTAGAGAATATTGGCTACATGCACCTGTGTTTACCTACAGTTGCCTTTATTATAAATTCTGACGGTTAAATAAATCATAAAACCACATTGTATTAAGCTCTTCATATCAAATTCTACGATACGATAGCGTTGTGTTAAGTCGACAACATGAAGTGTTACTTATTAGTGCTCGTCGTAGCATATTTCCATTGCTTTTCAACAGAAACACTTCCAAAGTTAACAATTGATGATTTTCTTAATTCAACCCAATATAAATCATTGAGTCTTTCACCTGATGCTGGTTATTTATTAGTTCACAGTTTGCGTCCTGCTTGGGAATCGAATCGATATGAAGATGCATTGTGGCTTTATCGAACTGAAACTGCACAAAAAAAATTGATTACTAACCAACTCTATCCCAATGTCAAACCAAAATGGTCACCGAGTGGTGCTTGGATTTATTACTTAATCGATGAAAGCTCACAAACAGATCCAGTCAACATTAACGAACGTTCTCGACCGGTGAAAAATGAAAAATATATTCATTTATATAATATTATTTCCGAAGAAACGTTATTGATCGAAGTCGGAAACCACAATCCACTGGCAATCGTATGGGGCAATGATGATAATTCACTTTATTTCATTTCAATAGCATCATCTCAAGAAGACAACAAGACGAATCAAAACGAATGGAAGGATGTTGTTCAATATCGACAACGAAAACCGACAGATAGTACTACTCTCCATCGTATTGATATTAAAAATAAAAATCATAAAATATCTGTGAAAATTACGACTATTACCAATATCGATTTTCTAGTTGGTGAACTCTTATTGGTTCCAGCGGAAAATAAACTTGTCTTTACATCCGTATCAACGCTTGTCGAAAATTCACATGATTTCGAAATATACGCACTTGATCTCAGAAATGTATCTTTACTATCTAGATTAACAGATAACAAAATGATGGAACAAAATCTGCAATTATCACCCGACGGTAAACATCTATTCTTTGTAATAGGTTCCATGGGACCGACTGGTGGAAAATATAATGATACACAAAATGCATTAGGCTCGGTCGATTTAACAACTGGAGTGACTGAACATTGGGGAAAAGGCTTCAATGGAAATATTATAGGCTATACAATTCGACCACAGGGCGGTGTTTATATACTTGGACAATTAGGAGTCAATGTTCAAATATATGTACAGCAGTCATCATCAAAATTTGTAATGTTACAGCACGGATGGGAAGGAACATATCAATTGATTTCCTCGGCCACATCACCACATTCACTGTCGATTGCATTTGCTCATTCATCATTTGAAAGCGCATTAGAGGTTTATTTTGTTGAACATATCAATCAATTATATGTCGCGAAAGCTGTTACTTGTGAAAATCAAATTCTTCGTGAACGAAATCTACCTCGAGCAAAAGTATATCGATGGATTAATAGTGAAGATGATCGTACAATCGAAGGAATTCTACATTATCCACCGGGAAAGTTTGAATGTAAAAATTTGCCATTATTTGTACTTATTCATGGAGGTCCATCAGCTACAAGTCTCAATATGTTAATCGGAGATTGGTATTCGTGGGCTCCATTAGCAGCTACTGAAGGTTGGCTAGTTTTGGAACCTAATTATCGAGGTTCGGCGGGATATGGCGATGCATTTTTAAGTGAACTTATTGGTCATCCTTTATCTCGACCAGGAAGAGATATTCTTGCTGGTGTTGATACTTTAATTGCCGATGGCATCGCTGATCCAAATAGACTTACTGTTGGCGGTTTTAGTTATGGTGGATTTTTAACAAACTGGTTGATTACCCAAACAACGCGGTTTAATGCTGCTGTATCCGGTGCTGGACCAGTTGAGCATGTTTCTTTATGGGGTACGATGGATACGCCGTTGTATATTGCATCTTATATTGGTGGATATCCGTGGGAAATACCGGAAACCTATTATGAAGAATCGATTATGTTTAAATTAGGTTACGTCCAAACGCCAACACATATAGTTAGTGGTGCAAATGATCTACGTGTTCCTCCGTCTGAAAGTGTAACGTTAGAACGCGGGTTACATTATCTTGGTGTTCCTGTGAAATTATTACTTTTTCCAAACGAAGGACACGACCTGACTATCAATCCATGGCATGGAAAGATCAAAGTTCGAGAAGAACTTAAATGGCTTGAAAAATATGGACATGCATCGCTAAATAAGTCGAGACCACAATAGACTGTGTCATAATAGGCTTTTTAGTTGAACTTTGTAAGGATGAATGAAATATATTATGCAATAGAATAAATCATTTTTGAAAAGCTCATGTTGCATATTTGATTGAAGATGTACAAAAATGATGCGAGATTAGAAAAACCAGATACGATGATAACAATAGAGAAAATATTAAATGTATACATGTGCCAAATGTACGCGTTCCGAGAAAATTGTAGTTATTGTAGAAAATACAATATGTAATGTATTTACGTAATTATAGGGCGAGCTGTACGTGCCTGTTCTCTGAAATACAATTCACGCTCACCCACATCGTTTAAACACAGTGACATAGATATAATTTGATTTATTGGTAATTGTAGAGAATAAACTATAAGCATTATTGATATCATGAGATTGCACTTGAAATAAGATGACGAAATGATTTTCATTTTAAATGCCTATTATTGAACTATTCGAAGTATTATTTGCAGATGATTCATTCGCTCGTCAGACCGTATTTCTAGTCTTAATCCTGAATAATTTCTTCTAAGCAGAAATAATTTTCAATCAAATGAAGATATGAGGTTTTTATTAGGTAATTATTTGATTTATGACTAATTATTAAAATATAATTGAACAATCTAGGATATTTTACGGCAAAAACAAGGAGACCATCGTTTTTCTCACGAAAAGTTCTCTTGAAAGATTACTTTTCATTGAGTGCAAAAATTTGCTTTATTATTTATCTTATCAACAAGTTTCAGGTTTCTAGTTTCATTTGTAGGCTTATGAAAAACAGGATCAATTAACATTGTCTCAATAATTTCTGATTGATTGTTTTCTTCTTCCAACTATATTTTAGCAGTTGTATTATTTTCAATCCATAAGTGTTTTTTTACACTTGAATAAGTTTTATATCTGTTTTGATATAAAAATAGGATAGGACGACATATAAATAAACTGTTCATGCTATATAGAAAAAGTGATTTCGAGATCCGTTTAGAATATATTTGTTTAATATCTAAAATTCTCTAATTATATTTTTCGTTTAGAAAGAACCAGAGTGAAGCTAGCCGAACAGGATGATTTATCTGGAAGAAAGATAATGATTCTTTTGGACGATACGATTGATCACTGGATAGCGAAATAGTTGTAAATCATCAGTAAAGAGGAATACAGTGCAAAACAAATTTGGGCATGACTTGCTTAATGATAGTATGTGAAAATGCATTGAATACCATAATTATTAAGAAAAAAAATAGAATAACGAGATAAGAAGAAATAAAACAAAATGAAAGCTGATCAATTACGGTAATTTTCTCGAGAAACGTAAGTTTTCTTAACAGTTGATCGATAATTTGACCCGTCAATGTATTTCCTTGTTCGACTTCGTATAATCGATGCATAAGTACAATATCTGCTGGGTATTTATGAATAAAATCGTGTGCAAAAAGATGATGGCCAATAAAATATTGAGCAATAAATGAAAGCATGTCGTACAAGCTACGAAACAAGCCACATGTTGAAATAAGCAATAAAAAAAGTAACGAACGCACTGTATTGCTCCATATATTGATCGGTAACACACATTGGGTCTACGAGTCATCTGCTCCTCCTACAAAATGAAGTTTTGATCAAGAAACGTTGAAGCTAATGAAAATCGGAAGAGTTTAGATCATAACAAAAAATCCAAATTACTATTTTTCGATTTCATCTATTCGATTATTGTTAAACCAAGAAACATATATTTAAATCCAAGACAATATTCAAGTAAGAAAAATAGTATAGTCACAATATAATTAATCTTGATAAAAAATATGCACAATTGATATACAAAAAAAAATCTATTTTGATACCAGACTGTACGATGCAGCTGAATAATGCACTTCGACAACCTGCAATAGCAATATAAGAAAATTGTAAATAGAATCTCTGTTCTATGCATAGTAAGCATGCAGCAGGTATGTTTAAATTCGACAAACTCACCTCCATTGATCAACTTGAATTTTCAGCCAGTCGACTATGGTATCATTCTCTTCAAGAAGTCACTCTGAATTTAACTTGTTGCACAATGTCCTCACACTTTTTTTTCATTTGGACACTCGGTGTGTTATCAGTAATTTTTTCTAGTACGTGACATTTCACGCTCATGATTATGCATCGTTCTTTCTGCATTCAATTGTGTTTCTGCCTGTCGAGATTAGTGATCATGGTCGACATTCTTCCAGAAAATTTTTCTCAAGCTTTCGTCCTTGTACGTTTCTTCAATAATCATATTCATCCGTTCTCTCGACGATTACACCTTGAATTTTCATCATTTTCTTTCTTTCTCCTTTGTTCACCATTCGTACTTTTCGTCATTCTCGCAAATTTTATCGGACAATAAATAGATTGAACATTTCGATATCGCCCACAAAGTTGTTTATCCGTCGTATTTGAGCACTTTTTTTAACTTGATGTATTGTTCGTCTTAATCTGATTCATTTTTTTTCTGTCCTCTTTATAATGTGTATGGATCCATCTTTCTGTCGGTGATGAGGCATGTTATATTCTTTGACTCATTTTGCTCTTATCTATATCTTTTATTCAATGCGCATTCCTTCATGCTTTATTTCTTTTATATATTATCCTTGCTTTTTCTCTCACTAGATTGAATTGATTCTTAATGAGAAGAGCACCGAGAAGAGAACATGGATGATCTAAGAGGTAAATGTAATGTTAACGAGTGAGCGTTCAATGTGAAAATCCTTAAAATATGCTTTAGCTTCTTTCATCATTCGTGTTACAGGAATAAAATGAAAAGACATTATCGTTAAAATGAATTTAGTTATGTTTCAATGAAAAAGAAGAATTTCTATTTTGTTCTTGTGTAATTGCTGATTTCGATCATCATCTTATATATTAGAACATGAGTTAAATCTGACATTATACGAGAACAGTAATAATAAAGAGAAGAAAAAAAACTGAAGTTTTGCCTTTGTTGAGCAAACCCGATGTTGTGTCGATAATTTTGGATCCTAGAATATACTTGAGATCAACGCTGAACATCTCCATGATAACGAATACAAGACGCACCACTATCACTTTTATGGAGATGCGCAATTCTGCGTGAGATATTCGCCTTACATAAATTTCCTTTTTATAATTAGGAGAAAAGTTTATTTGTTGTGAACTGATTTTGTTTATTCAAAAAGAAAATTTTTGAATCATAGCTGTGCCAAGAACTATCTATATCTTCAACAAGGTAGAATCTTTTTATCAACTGTACATACTATACAAATGCAGCATATTGGCATGACGAAGGAACGAAAATAATAGACCTTGAGGGGTGAAAGGGCCAGGGGGAAATAAGGGGCCGCGGAGAGAGAAAAAGAGAAAGGGGCGAACTGGGAGAACGAAAAAGAAAAGGGGGCAAAATGGAGAGAAAAAGAGAAAGGGGCAAGACGGAGAGAGAATAAGAGAAAGGGGAGGGTGGGCAAGGGCTAAAGTTGTTTGTTTTTTATATTAAAGTAATAAAAACTCAACGAACAAAGTATTGTTCTGTTTCTTCTTGATTAATCTTTGCTAAGACAGACATATAATCTTGCTTTCTACTTGTCTGTTTTCGATAGAAAGGGTGTGATTTAACTGCTACCCCCTCTTCGCCCCATTCATTGTATTCGACATTTGACCTTGCTAAGTTTGATTGATCCATTTCTATTCGATATATGATATACTCTCTAACGAATCTTCAAAGAAAAAAAAGAGATTATTGTTTACGTCTACATATCAAAGTGATAGGTGATTAGCATAGTTTCACATTTGTGCGAAAACGAAATCCTAGAAGGTCCTGACACAATATTAGATACATTATGACTCGTCGATTCAAAACGAAGTTGTTAAAAATTGTCATTAAACGCTCTGAATTAATGCATGATCGATTCCGTGGTTCATCTTGGACAAGCAAAATCAGTCAAACAGATAAGAAGTCATTATTTGCAAATAAAACTGGAGAAAAATTTCGGTCAAAATTATTAAAAATAAGTGTCGCCAAAACATGGCCCTCAATTCAGAAGGTATGCATCATTGAAAAAGATATTCTGCGTCCGAGAATTTTTTTAACGAATGATTATATTCAATTTCTTAACAAAAAAAAAGGAATGGATCGTTGTCAAACAAGTTCAACTGACCAAACGATGCGAACAAGGCTTATGTGGACGAGCAAATTTGAAGTTCGTTACGTATTTAAAAAATAAGAAAAATAAGAAGGAAATCGTATCCGGCAATTGCTGTATATTAACATTGCAACGATAAATGTACAACAGAACCAATTCAAATGCAATTTTTTTAGTGTTTTTAGTGTCAATTTATATAAATATAGAAAGGTTTTATAGACTTTATCTTGTTGACATCTTCTTCATATATTTATATATGCCGGGTGAACCAAAATAATGGCAACTATCTCAGCATGCATAAATCCTATTTTGAGGGTGTGGGCGTGGGTACGGATGCGGATATAGGCTTCACATTTCTCATTAAATAAAGCTACGCCGGAATAAACACTGTCATTAATCGGGATATTCATTGTAATTTTTAATGAGTAATAGTGAAATCTATCTTTGGCAAGAATTTTTTCGCGAAAAATTTTACATGCGTTTCTATGTACACCGATTGCATATTATACAGGCAGGCAAATGAAGCATACTTGGTCGGGCGTGGGTGTTATCCTGTTGCAAACACTCACACCCTCAAGAAGAAATCATGCGAGTGAATGATATTATTATGAATGAATTATCATTCGAGATAGTCACTGAAGAATCGAAACAAACTTTTTTAAAAGTAACTCAACATTTGAACGATGAACAGAATATCGAGGGTATTGTTCTCGGCTTTACTGGTGAGGATTTTAATACGATCGATTCATATTTACCGTGAGTTTATCTTACATACTCTCATAGAAATATCAGTGCTTATCAAGCAAAATGACATACCTCATGTTCTTCTTTGTGATTCAACACAACTTCATGTAAGAACAACAAGATTTGTTTTGTTTTCAATGTCCTAACATTTTATCACTTAGACACAACTAGCAATTGACTATTAACTCAGTCGGCAAAGTATCAAAGTCGTTTTACCATAGAATAATCGTAAAAAATCAAGAGCAAACACATCTCTCGAATCGTCTGTATTAGACATGTTGCATTAAATTTTTAAAGAGAGAACATGAGCATTAATAATTTTATTTTAAATATGCATATATTTCAAGTAACTCGCGTCTACGGACTATGCTTGTCTCTCTGGTACAGATTTTTTTACAGTTTTGTAGCTTTCGGTAAATTAAGTAAATCTATCTTGAAAACAATGACACTTTCCGATTGGACTGACGTAGTGATCACAGGTACTTTATGCTGTAACGTGAAGGAGAGACGTGGTATCGGAAGGCTATTGACCTATTTCATTGAATACACGATGAAGCGTCCATGAAAATCGTCCATTTGTATCAAGCCGTGTATTGCCTTAAAGCAGACAACATAAATTCCCAGCGACAGTGACGAAACGATTTTGAAATAGGACTATCTTGTGGATCGATTTGACACCGCCCGTTTTGCAGAGTTGTAAGCATCACAATTCAATTATGAGTTTCTGTTTGAAAGTAATATATTGCAATCATCATCATAATATTTCAGTATTGTCTTTAATTGCTATCTGTGTTTTCATCACCAGTTTGTTTCTCGGTACACTTTTCGTTGTCATCACGGAGCAAGATGATAATCGTGTTTTAGATCGGTATTAATATCTGTGAAGAGAAGCTGATTTTTTGATGGTGAAGATTGTCATTGATTGCTGTCGGTTTTTTGAGTATCAGACGATGGGCTCTGGGTGCATTTGATACTGCATTTAGTTTTCATTATGCGGCACAATGGCAATCATCCTATAATAGGAAATAAATTCATGATTGCTTTGACGGCAATAAGCTTTGTCCCCCTTGGAACAAAGGATAAAAGTGTACTTTTTTTTACAGATTTTTCTAGGAAATTTTATTGGAGGATCGACTAGAATACATATTGTTCATCTTAATCTTTCCCACTATGAAGATCGTTTCTTAAAAGTTTAAATTTCTACTGGATTATTGAAAATTTACTCTAAAACCCGTACTAGATAGGTTTGATTCTAAAAATGTTCATTGAAAAGTTTCGAAAACTTAAATTTTCATTCGTGTTTCTGTCAAAAAAGATTCATTCGCATTTTTTTAAACGAGTATCAATACAACTGATACATACGATAAGAAAACTTCCTGTATGGCATTACAGTGCCACTGTTACTAATTTTGGTGTATCTTAAACATTACTAATGATCGCATTAATACATGGTTGCCTTTTGTTTCAACCGAGCGGATGAGTAAGATATAGAGCTGCAATAGTTTTCCATATACTCTTAAGCTTAAATGAAAAACAGTAGTAGAATCGTATTATCGTGTAAATACTTTTTTTTAAGTCGTTCGTTGATGAACGAATTAGTTATTTGCATTCAGCTATCAAGAGCAGTGAAGATGATATACCAGCTAATTGCCTGTGAATATTGACTAATTGTTTTTTCATACAATTGTATAGTTTTCTGGTCTTTCGCATACTTTTAAAAGAAAACTATGCTAGCATTTAGTTGGACAAGAAATCTAGAGTATGGATCAAACCGGAAATCAATCAGGATTATGTTCTGGGTGTGGGTGGTTGGGCTGGTGCGGGTATTGCCCTGATGAACTAATCTACACCCACACTCTCAAGGTAACAATTTATTAATACTTAATAAGAAACGTTTTATTCGACAACAACATGATATTGATTTGTCAAGCTAAAAAAATGCGTAAATAAAACGAATAGAAAAATTTGTTTTTACTACTAATGAAAACATTTCACCATCATCATTACAAGTTATACCATTCAAGCAAAGCATTTCAAACCATCCTTTTTGTGTACTCAAAAAGTGAGTACACTCTAGAACCGGTCAGTGTGTCCGGCCGGCCGTCCGGCCGTAGGCACGATAACTTGCGAAAGGAGAGTCAGATCGTGATGAAATTTTCCACACAGTTCAATCTCATGAATATCTCAGTCGAGTTCGAAGATGAGAAGAATCCCTCAAGAAATGGTTGAATTATCGAAAAAATTGTCATTTTTGACCAGGCCATCCCTGAGGAGGAGTACAGGGAATTTTTTTCAAAAAATAAATCTTTCTCAGAATTATTCACAACATGTATAAATCGACTCAGTTTTTAACGCTGATTCCGAATCTGATATTGGTTTTGAGCTAAACCGTAGCTTTCTGATGAAACATCGCCTGAAAAACGTCTCAAAATGCACAAAAACTGCATCCAGAAATCAAATTGCCTAGTTTCTCATGATAATTTTGGTGTTCAGACATTCTAGAATGACTCATATATCCCATGCACTTTTTTCAGTACACATAACTTTCGGATGAAATCCGAAGTTTCCACATTTATTTGATCCTCACCCCACACCGAAAGGTAAGGATACTAAATCTACTCTAATCTTGTTGTCTTCTGATGCCACAGCGTTTTTTTTATGTTTATAAAGTATCATTTTACGTATACCATTAGAATACAAGGCAAACACAGAAGAGATAAGAGGTCGAAATGATTCTTCATTGTTGTACTGCATCCAAGAATCAACAACAAACATTTTTATCATCGTTATTAAGCACATTTCTTTATGTGAAACTGAAATCATTTTGCTGCAGACGAGGTAATTCTTTTGTACATGCGATAGAAAATAGAAAAAAAGACGATGAACACATTCCTATCTCATTTCTAGATGAACATATCTACGAACCAAGTCGTCGAATCCGATGTCGCAGATAAATGTAGCAATTCTGAAAACACCATAGTAATCAATATTGAATCATGTCATCCTACGACATTGTACAGTGATACACAGAACGAAGTACCAATCATGGCATCCATCAGTGACAATGTACGCTCTCAAGACGCAGTAACATTAAAACGTGGTGAAATAGAAGATTTGAAAGACACTAATACGACAAGACAACGAGTGGTTGAATCCAGTGCTACTCTTCATGATTTAAATAGTTAAGTTTCAGAAGTTGAATGAACGATAGAAAAAATAGTCAGAACCAACGCAGATTTCTTAAAAATCTTCATGATAGGATTATGTAGCAAACTTCTCCAGAAAAGAGCCCATTGTTTCTTATCTCCCTAAAGAGCTTTACGAGCTGTTCGGCCACTTTAACTTTAGGTAGCTGGAAACATGTACGAGTCATTGTAATTTTCTTAAAATTTTACAATTCAATCATCGTATTGACTACTTTCTCTTAGTATCAATATTGAGTTTCAAATTGTTTTTACATATGTAGCTTGTCTTACATTAAAAACTGCATCTAATTCACATAATTCATTCAACCACGAGAGTGGAGTGACGGCGAGAATCCGATATTCAAAATGTCAAACCAACAAAGCACCTCATTTGTCCATTTGAATATATTCTATGTTAATATAGTTCACATTATAATGTTTGAATTCTTTTAAACTTCGTTTTGCTGATAAAATTTCATATTCATACTGTTTCAGTAGTATGGAAATAAGGACTATAGCTTGACCATTTTATATATTTCAATATCAGAGACTTAACTTGAGGATACAACCGTTGAAATATGGAATGTCATATTAAAAGGAAGAACATTTTTACAAATATCAAATGTGAGCATCCCACTCTGCATCTTGCATGTTTACCGTTGTTATTCGTTCAGATATATCGGATTTTTGATTGTTTTTATGTGGATGTTCGGTGTAGAGCGGCGTTGAATATAAAAAATTACATGAAAAGTCGCCAATGATCCTTAAAATGGCAGAGTAACAGCGTTTCTAAACAGCAATTGAAAAACTAGTTAACAATTATGAAAAATTTCACAGTTTTAATCAGAAAATGTTTATTAAGGTAAGAAATTCATGTTTTCAAAGATTTATTTTCATCGTTAGAAATCGAACGAACAGTAAATGAAAAATACAGAATACAATATCACATACTAAATTGAGTATAAAATAAAATATGCAGATTCTATAGATAAGAATAATCAAGATTATTATTAAAATTTCTGAATAAATGATCAGAGTTTTGTTCTTTGTGCTATTCGAATAATCTGAATAATACGTCCTTTTGATTCAGCTCTCGCAAAAATTGGCATTCCACGACATGATGAATCAGTTCATATTGAACAACAACAACAGAATCCAACTGATGTTCAATTACCATCGTTTTGGTCGCTAAATGGTCTTCACGCTCGATGGACTGATCCGTTGTTCCGGAAAATGTTATGGAATGTATTTCTATTGTCATGTTCATGGAGTCTCGGTCAAGCCATAAATTATATTCAAGTAAGCACGACAACAGTGGCGGCTAAAAGTTTTACCGATTCAAATCTGGCGACGATACCTATCGGCGTAATGCTTTTAATTGGTACCGTTTCATCTATATTTTTGCCCCGTGCAATAGCTCGGTTTGGATACCGACGACCATTTTATTTTGGTGCTCTTATGGGCTCCATCGGAGCTGGACTAAGCATTGTAGCAGCATGGTATAAGCTCTATTGGTTGTTAATTGTGAGTTCTGGATTTTTAGGTGGACAATTGCCGTGCACATTGTACTATCGCCTGGTAGCATTGCAGTTTTCGACGCAAGAATTTGCTCCAAAAGCCATAGCAATGGTCATAGCTGGCGGTTGCTTCTCTACAATACTCGGGTAGGCTCATGCTTACCATAATTATTTGTTTGTCAAAATATGTACATCGAACAGAGCAAAAATCTGTTCATTTTTAGGAAAGACCACAAAATAACTGAATATTTCTGATTAGATAGATCATTGAATGTCTACTAAAATTCTTCATATATTTTAAGTTGAGAAAACTCTCACCTCCGACATTACTTAAAACGGAACTTACCTCTCGCAAGCTCTTTTGATAGTTCCACCATGACTCACAGCAGTTTTGACAATGAATAAATAGCACATTGAAAAGCACATAAGACTACCAACGATCGTCATTAAGCATATAGCGACTGAAGTGCACTATCAGAAGTACTTCAGTTGCAGTGACAAATATGTTGAGATCTTACTCGTGTTATTTCGCCATGAACGGTAGTCGCACTGATAGAAGCAGATAGATATCGTCAGAAGCATTTCTATCTATACTAATTTGGTTTTACTCTAGGCCAGAAATTGCTACACATACAGTAAACATGTTGTCAAAACCATACTGCGGGGCTTATATAGCAACATTAGGCGAATTCTTGCTACTTCTATTCCTTATGACAATAATCCAGTTTCCCGACATGAGCACAAAATATGCTGCACTTATACCGAGTTCATCATCAACGACAAGAAACAGTAACTCTGGTCTAGACGGTCGTTCAATATTCGTAATAGCTGGTCAACGAACATTTCTTGTTGCCATTTTTATTGGCTTCGTATCATGGTCATCAATGTCTGTTCAAATGTCGGCTACACCTTTAGCGATGACTGGTTTTGGTTACAGTTTTCGTCAAGTAATAACAGCTATCGAATGCCATCTATTAGGCATGTTTGTTCCATCGTTTTTTTCTGGAACTCTATGTAACTGGTGTGGTAGTCGACTACTTATGGTTGCTGGTCTTGTTACTCAATTGATAGGAGCACTATTACTTCAACGTAATATGGCAATTAGTTCTTTCAATGTAGGTTTGATTTTTGTTGGTATTGGATGGAACTTTGGGTACGTAGCCTCATCAGCATTGCTAATGAAATCTCACAAACCGGAAGAAAAACCAAAAGTACATTCAATATACGAAGCGATTACAATGCTTAGTATAACGATATCATTCTTTGCAGCTGCATTTGCCGAGCAGTCTCTCGGCTGGAAGATTTTAACCGGGAGACTGATGGCCTACTATCTGGTTACAGCTATAGTGATATTAACGATAGACACAACATTCGTATTTTATAAAACCAGAAGTATCAAGTTGGAAATAAATGAGACATGAACAAAGTATTCAGTAGTGCATCAAAAATAAGTAAACATCTTATCCATGTTTTTTATCGAATGAATGGAGTGTGGGTGTGGGTGTAGGTACAGTGGAGCGTTGTTAAGCGTTCAGTCAATATCCATCCACGCTCATATCCTCATTTATTTGGTGAATCAAGTTGAATTAGATCAGTTTGAAACAAATGAAATTTTCTCGTTTTCTCTTCATGTCGCCCCATGATCTAATAGCATTCGATTGATTGAATATTATCTTTATAAGTGATCATATCATCCAAAACGATACTGATAACTAATGAAGTAGATGACATATTTCAATCAATAATACAATTGATTGAAAATGTAAAAATTCAATTTGAATCAACACTGCTGCATACCTATAGTAATCAATTGTTGTATCAAGGGTGTGGGTGAATAGTGATCTTTCCGTGTTTATGCGCAGCTGCACCCCCATAACGCCACACCCACACCCAGCTCATTCAGACAAACAAACAGAAAAAGAACTCGTCAAAACATGTCAAAATTTAAAAGAAAAAATTCATAAAAACTCACATTTTCACTTTTTTTTTCGCTGAAATTTCAAGTTCTTTTAGCGCGTTATTTTTTGTTGCTCATCTGACTCGGTACCTATCCTATCCTATGCATCCTCTATGTATTTGAATAACCATAAAATTTCAAGAAAATCGTATTGAGAAATTATTTAAACCAAGTGTGATATTAAGTTAATCTATCTGATTTCATACAAACAACTCCGTTAGAATAATTCTCGTATGATTAAAAACATTCTCTATATTTTAGTCACTTTCACTTCAAAATAACGACTACGCATGCGCGAATGAAATTATTTTTCTTTCGTTTCCTTTACCTTCTTAAAATACGATCGAAAAGGAGTGTTGAAGTATACACTCTAAGTAAAAATGTGTCGGATGTGTCGTAAACTGCTACACCGAGCACGACACATTCGAGCACGACATGAGGTGCTCGTTGCGCCACATTCTGCTCAGCAAGACCACGAGGCATTTTTCACAACACATCCGACACATTTTCATTGGTTGTTTTTGAAACGCATATTTCGATATTTTTTAAAATTTAATTACACATATCTCTTTATTTTTTGAACATTCAATCTGATTAGATCCTAAGATCTGGCTGATTTGGAATTGGTTCGATTCCTATCAGACTATCCAGTGTAGTTCTTCCCGGATCATGGATCGGGATGGCAATTCCTTGATTATAAAGTAATCAAGAATCGATTCCAAAGAAAATTTTATTTCGAAAATTTATCTTCCATGCATTCAACGATATTGCTTATATGTCGCTGTATGTTCATAACAAAATGGTGAACGACTAGTCGACTGGCAGAACGCGACAAATATACGACACATTTTTTAAATTAAAAATGCGACGCAAAAATTCACGGCACATACAGCCGACGCATTTTTATTTAGTGTGTATACATTGTAATTTTTTTCAAATTCTATAAATTCGAAAATCGATCTCAAATAAGGTGAAGCATTTTTAAAGCTTGATGATTTATTCGTTGAATTTTGAACAAATTGAAAATACTTGATTTTCCCATTTATAGAAATTCAATTGGAATTTCAAAAGGTATCATTTTTCTATAAAGTGGAAAATCCACAATAGATTTCAGACCATTTGAAAATCAGTTCTGATTTTATAGAATATCGATTGAGAATTTTTAAAAACGAAAAAATTGATTCTATTTCTTCCAAGATTATCGAAACAAAGACCGTCACCTAGTCCTTGCCCTGTCTAGTATATAAGTCAGTAGGTATAATGTTAAACAATCATTATTTTCTTCAACTCGCTATTAGGAGTTGTTAAATCTTTTTTTTCATTTTATTTATTTTTTATTTCCTTTAAAGTTCTCTTTTTTTTAGTTCTTATTTTTTGTTAATTATTGCTCTACTTTAGTTTTTATTTTATTTTAGCTTCTATTCTGTCATCTTTTTTTGTTTGATTTTTTATTTTGTTTTAGTCCGCAATGCTTGTTATTTTATTTTTTCATATGGTATTTTATTTTATTTTTTTATTTGCTTATATTGTATTGGATTTTATTTCCACCATCAAGTATAAATGCTTCATGACGAGGAAAAAATCAAATTCGATTTTCTTGTTTACAGTGATAGGGTAGAAATTCGAATCTTCTTTCCTTGCAGACCGTGACAGATAAGTTCCAGAAAAACAATTTAACCATATTTCACATTTTAATGTGGCAACAATTGTGCTGGGAGCTTTTCTTCCATTGTCGATTGTTGAATATCAATTAAGTAGATTATTGAAGATATCTAGATGAGAGGAAAATAATAATAAAAAAATGAATTGTTTATTCTAGATCATATTGGACGAGCTAAAAAGCAAGGATTTTTCTCTCAGTTGAAAAAACATAATTGCTCTCTTTGCTTCTGTGTATAAATATTTTATTTGTAAATATTGTCAACAATGAATTATTAATGAAGAAACGATGAGAAAAACATTATCTTTTAGAACTTTGAGAAAATTAGTTCGAGTGATTCAATATTAGATTTTAATGTCAACATTTCTTAATTGTACTTATTAACCGAAGAAGAATCTACTGTCACCCATTTCTATATAGAATATTAAAAGAGTCGATTTGTTCAGACCAGAGCTAGGACAAGTACAAGTACAGCAAGTAAACGTATTTTACTTTTACTCAAAAAAAATACGAGCAGTACAAGTGCAAATGCGTACCTCCGAACTCTGATTCAGAGTGAATCATTTCGTATGCATTCTAGGAAAAGAAATCGATATAAAGAATTCCATTAGTTAATAGAACTGTTTAAATTCGTTTACGTTCAAGTAGAGAACTATTTACGCATATGTAGAGTGGATCTTCCCACTTTAACTTCTCTCACAATAGTAGAGAGAACGATTTATTTTTGCACAACATTTCACTCTATGCTTTGATGAATAAATTGAGTTGCTTTTTTTGCGAGAAATATTATTCAATCAACAAAGCAAAAATCGTTTCAAGGTAATTTGAATGTGTTTTTAGACACCTATCTAACTGGATGTGAGAGACATGGACGACGGATTTCACACACCAATACTCGTCCCTTCCCTGAGTTCCGTGAGAGTCGTGTAGTCTGCAGCTTAAATCTCGACCAGTGATGGATCCACGAATTTCGGGTATACTGTACTTCGACTTCAGCGCATGTGACCTAGATAACATTTATGAACAATAATGAACTCTTATAAGTATTCTTTTCTTAATAATTTAATCGTAATCAACATCGAATTTCATCGAGAGATTTTAATTATCATTTACAAGTTTACATCTGTTCAGAAGAAATGAATGTTTATGGATGAAATTCTATCTAGATTAGGATCAGATCATTAAAAAAAAGAAATACTAATAAAAACAAACCAATTGTAGAATTGGCGGAGGAAATCAAATTATTACTTTTCACATGTTCCGATCACAAAATGTTTTCCATAAGAACTCATCATTGAGGTCTAACGCCACTGTGTATCAGATTCATCCAGGGTTCGTGCTCAGAAGCTGAGATACAAGATGTCCCAAAATCCTGAAATCGTCACTAATTTCGACATATCTATCCATTTTGAGATCTTATCAAAATGTTGTAATCATAAAAAGCTCAATATAATAAGAATTATTATGTATAGTGGGCTGCATGAGCAATATTCGACTACAAGATGTTATCGTTTGAGTCAGAAATATGTGTTGCCGTCTTGCTCGATGGAACTGATCTTGCACGAAGCGATAATATAAACAAAGCGAAAACGGAACTTGAGCGAATAGTGAAGTTTGTTGAAATATTCGATGACCTAGACGAATGCGTCGATTATGTGACGGATACTGAAGACCATCAAATTCTGTTAATTGTTAATGAATTGGATGGTGAAAATATTGTTTCAGTACTTCATGAGGTCAAGCAACTCAAAGAGATTTATGTACTTTCTTTGAATCGATCAACGAATTTGTCTTGGATAAAGGAACGCAACAAAGTTAAAGGTGTTATTAATAGTATCACATCGATATGCCCGATACTAGAGTCGTACACACAAGATGATAGTAAACAATTCAATTTTGTGAGCAGCTTCTCTGCTTCACTAACAGATGTAGATTCAAAAAACGAACAGGAAGTGATGTTCATGTACGGCCAATTGCTCAAATACATTTTAACAGAGATGGACTATTCAGACTGTGACCGGATTCAGATGATCGACTTTCTTCGCAGTCACTATCAACATCCGAAGGATATTGAAAAAATTTGCGAATTTGAATGCCGCTATGATCAAATGAAACCTATTCAATGGTATACGAAAGATTGGTTTCTCTACAGAGATTTGAATCAAGCATTACGTGAACACGATGTAATCTTTTTGTACTCAATGCGTGTGTTCATCAAAGATCTTCATCAACAAATTGTTAATTGCCATGTGAACTCTGAAGAATCGTCGATCTTGAAGGTCTATCGAGGTATGAGCATACCAACAGCTACTTTTGATGAAATGAAGAAAAAAGCTGGCGGCCTCCTGTCATTCAATTCTTTTCTTTCCACTACAAAAAATTATTGCGTTGCCTTGATATATAGTGAAACTTCGAGTAAGCCTCCTCATACGACTTCAGTGCTCTTTGAAATCGAAGCTGGCCCATCGATACCCACTGTCGCTCATTATATCGACATACGCGATTGGAGTCTGTTCAAAGACGAAGAGGAGTTCCTCTTCACGATGGGCAGCGTTTTTCGTATCCAATCGATTGAACCACCCGATGACCGTAATATTTCGCTCATCAAATTGCTATTAACGCACGATAACGACCCAGAACTAACACGACTCACTCATCACATACGGTTAAATATGGGCTCTCCAAACGTATTATCGTTTATTGAGCTTATGTATTTTGAGGGTAAATACGTAGAGGCGAAGGAGATCGGCAAGCTAGCGCTTCAAACAATCACTCAAGATTTGAAACCACTTGTATCCATAATGTTGGCAGAGTTTGCTTTAAACCTAGGAAAGAAAGAAGACGCAATGCGTGAATTACAATCGCTATTCAATTTTCCAGATGAACGGTGCCATATTTCAAGAGGCAGCAAAATAGATCTTCAGCGCAAATTTCTGCTCTACTGCATGCAGGGCCAATGGGATCTTGCCATAGAAAATATTGAAGCAGCGGTTGCTAACAAAACATATCAAACTTCAAAATCTCAGCAAGAATCGCTCGGTCTAGCTTACATGACTATTGGCAGGTTTCGTTATAAACAAGGACGTTACTCCGATGCCCTGTCATACTCGACCACAGCATATGAACTTCTCCAACATAGCCTACCAGCGACGCATCCATATCTTGCCACATGTCTCCAACAAATTTTTGTATTGAAGAACCTCAAGGGTCAACAGTGTCAAGAATCTGCTATAGTAAAAGAAATTGTCAAAGTCCAAGAGCGTTCGCTGCCACTGGGGCACACCCACAGGAGAGCGACTGAAGTAATGAATCGATTCGTCAACTGTACAGAAGACAATGACGTGAACTTTGTATCGAAAAATGAATTCTGTCAGACGCTTTTCACACAAGCACAATCCAACGGAGTAAACGATCCGATTTCATTGCTGACAATAAGTGTTGCATATTATGGGCAAAATAAGATAGACGAGGCGTTATCCAGCATCAATGAATATATCGAAACAGTACAAGGAGAAAATATTGCTCCACATGAAATATGTGGTGTTTATATGATCAAAGCAGAATGTTATCGTCAAAGAGAAGAACTAGCGGAAGCTATGGAGTTCTATAACAAAGCCTACGAAAGTCTAATACAAAATATTCATGAGACACTTCCATTAATGGCGAAGGTATTGGATAGAATCGCCCGGGTCTATGTAGCTCAGAACAAGTTTGATGCGGCATTCGCTGTGTGGGAGAGATGCAGGGACATGCCAATAAGTATATCAAGGGAGGATTACAATATCTTCAACACAAGTCGATCAAAGAGTATCGCCAATATATATCTACAACAAGCTTGGCATTATCAAGACTGCGTACAGCATGAAGAAGCTTTATTCAACTTTGAAAAGCGCCTAGAAATTCAAAGGACTTATTTGGAACCGGAGCATATTAACATCGCACGCACCCATTCCCGCATTGGACAAAACTACTTAGAACTGAAGAAGTACGATTATGCTTTGTCCAGTTTTCAAAAATCGTTACATATTACAAAAACGTACCACCCTGATTGTGTATCTGACCTGGTTCGCGCTTACGACGATGTTGGCGAGACTTTGGAGTTGTTGAAAAGGTTTCCAGATGCACTTATACATTTCGAAAATGCTTTACAAATTCAACTTGAATCTTTACCATCAACATATTCCAAGATAGCACAAACTCGGATACGCATGGGATTTCTGTATTGTCGACTGGGGGATGCTGATAAAGCATCAAATGAATTCGGTAAATGTCTAGAGATGGGCTCGACAGTGTGGCCGGTTCCGTTGGCTCAGATTGCCCGTGGTTACTTTTTAATTGGTGACCTCTACGAGCAGAAGGAAGAAAACTTGAAAGCTTTGTCAAACTTTCGAGAATCTCTTAGGATTATGGAGAACTGCTGCCCTATCGATCAACTACAATGTGCTAACTGTTACCAGTTTATTGGTACAGTCTTGTGCAAACTGCACACGTTTTCTGATGCACTTGAAAACTATAAGCTCGCTATGGATTTCCGACTCCAAGTTAAGCCACCAACGGATCCATCCATAGCAGTACTTTGGAAACGTATAGGAATGGTTTACGCCGAGTTGAATAACTACGAAAGAGCAGTATTTGCATTCAAAGCAAGCTTCGAGATTGAGCATTCGGCAATGCCAATGTTGGAAATAGAAGCGTTAAGTCGATCAATGGTACAAGGGCATTTTTTAAGCAAACGCCAGCATCAGGATCCATTGACAAACTGGCGACAATTTTTAGAGTTTCAAGCGAGTTCATTGCATTCAGACCATCCCGACCTTATCTTTACGTATAGAACAATTGGTTCTTCTCTCAGCGGTCAGAATAAGCATGTCGACGCACTCTACAATTTCCAACGTGCTTTAGATATTCGACTCAAATGCTCATCACCAACGGATCCTGAGGTTGCCAAAGACTACTGGTACGTGGGTATCAACTATATGCTCTTAGAGCAGTTTGACAATGCTTTATCAAGCTTGAAAACATGCTTGTCTATTCAAACTATTTCGCTTCCATCTTATCATTGTGATCTTGTTGATACGCACACAATGATTGGTACAATTCTCCAGAAACAACAGAAACTGACCGAAGCACTGGATAACTATGAATCGGCTTTGAAGATTTTATTTCAATCCTTTTCTTCAACGAATTTGAAGACAGATCAAGACTCGATCAAATATCGGAACAGTTCTCTTGCTGATATTTATGTTCGTATTGGTGACATTCACTTTACGAACGAACATTTATCCGAAGCACTTGTGAATTACCAGCTCGTTTTGGATCTCCAACTGGAATGTGCACCACGAACTCATCCAATGACTATGCATGCTGTAAAGAAATCGGGCATCATTTACCGTTTATTGGGTCGATACCAAGAAGCTTTGATAGCTTACAACGAATATTTAAATCTTCAGTTAATTACATTATCACCTGAACATATTGATCTTGCTTCTACTTACCGATCGATCGGAAATATACAAGTTAAGCAGCAGCAGTATGATGAGGCTTTATCGAGTCATGAAAAGTGCTTATTGATTCAAACAAGTTCATTTCCATCGAATCACCCGCAGATCGCTTATACATCTATGTTAATCAGTGATCTTCTCATGAAACAGGGCAAGTTCTCTCAGTGCCCAACTTACTTGGATAATAGTTTGAGTATTCTGCTTAACAATCAACCACTACATGAAGCTAATATTGCTCAAGTTCGGCGCATGATTGCTGAAGTTAATTCAAAGCTAGCTTGATAAAACAAACCACTTGAGAACCTCTTCAGATTTGATAACTAAGATCTGATTCCTTAACTATTGAAATTAATGCATCATTTAAGAAATAAAAGTGAAAGATTGCTCCGATGTACATAGAAGGGTGTGGGCGTGGGGATTTATATGTAAATGAAGTGATGGGGTAGGTGTACGGGGAGAAGAACGTTTTGAACCCAAACTGGCAAGTGATCTAAAACATCAATATTTGATTTAAACAATAAACTCTTCAACGTATGAAAATAAAATATGATTAAAGAACATGTTTTATTAAAAAAATTGTCTATATTAAAATTATAAGAATTGAGAAATGCAAATTTCTAATCGGTGGATAAATTATCGTTGTCTCTATGATTATCAGTTTTGTTCATTATGACATTGTTTCTTCAACAAATACATACTTTTATAGTTCATAAAAAATACGAAGACGAAATTACTATGATCGAATATATTCGTAAATGTTTTAATCGACGTAATTATACTTCCTTCTTCTTAGGATATTACTTTAGATAAGAATAGAAAGCTATGTCGGTTATCTAGCCTTTGTCAATATTCAATTAGACTGAGAAAAATGTGACAATAAATGTTCGGATGGCATTAAAGTGAAGAAAATATCGAAATCTTATTGCAACCATGCGACTTATTGAAGAGAGAATAAATAATTCATTAATATCTGAATATCTAAGGAGCTTGCTTCCATACGAATTCAAAGACTCTATTTTTCACACAAACTCAATAGACAGTCAGTCTAGAAAATTATTTTCAATGAAATGGCTATTTGCAGCGAAGAATGTGATGTATTTTAACTGGATTAATCTTTAAAACAGAAACTGGTCTTTTTCAATTTTGTTTAAAAACAAATTATTTTTCTACATTTTAAAATATAGTTATTATTATTACTATCGTTTCATTGACTTTTCTCAATTTCTCAAAAGTGATGTTTCTTTTTCTTTCATACGATAATGAAATTAGTTTTATTTTATAAAGTTATAAATTGTTAAATGAGTCGCTTCGTTCAACTTATGCAAGATTTATTTGTTCTTATCTCGGAGAGATGCAAAAACGGCTAGAATAAATGATTCGAGATTATCTAAATGATTCACTATAGAATGTTCCAATTGAGCATATTCATTATTTCTTTATTACATTTTATATGGTTATGTGAACATCTGATAAGCACATATCAGAGAGAAATAAACCGTTGTTTTTATCTTTCAAGAGACAAAGATTTACCTATTCTTCTTCATGAAGATATACCATTAAGTTATATACTATAGTCTATCATATTGTTTTAGTCTGAACGATATTTTCACATAAAAGTCTTCATTAAAATTCTTGAGTATGTGGGGGTCGTTCGATATTGATTCGAATCTCATTTTTATCGTCACTTACAACAACAACAACAACACCTACACTCAAATTCTTATTTGTCTTGCTGATCAGATACTTCTTTTTCATATTTTTTTTTCTTCAAAATCTTCTTATTTTTCTTTTAATTTTCATTGGATCAAATTTGGCACCTTCAAATGTGGAAAATCTATGTCTTTTTTATGTTTCATCAGTTATCATCCGAAGATGGCAATTAAACGACGAAATTTGTATTGAATTTTTCATATGAAATGATGACTGGAATATGAATCGGTGTTTGTGTCAATATCTAAAGTCACAATAGTCTCACATTGTAATATTGAAAAGTTAGGAAGTACAAACGTTATTTTGCTTACACGCTCACAATGTTCTTTTGTTCTAGTCTCAAATTTGCCAAACTGTATATTTATTGTTTCTGTACTCAAAGAGCAATCTAATCACCATTGTTGAACATTGGATTGTATATTTGAATAATTTAGATAGCATAACACAGAAATATGTGTCTCTTGTTTTTTACTCTTTTCTCATTATCAATAAGTAGTGATATAAACTTGAATACGATGACTCTGTTAGATATATTCTATGAATAGAAGCAGTACAACCAGATACCATTATATGTAACCCTTTTATCCTACGGCATTTCTTCCATCTTCACATTATAATCAATAATTTGACACACATATATGCATACAACATGTCGCCGATTCTCATTTGTCTTCTCTATTGACGACAACATGTGTCATTAGTACGGAAAATACTACCCACAACTTTTTTTTTTATAAAAAGGCATGCTTCGGAGAACATTCTTTCGAGTATATTTTCCGTCCATGACCAAATATCGTATAGAATCTTGCACTATCCCATGACATAATAATCATATCATTTCTGATCCATCAAAACAAGTTATTGCTAAAATCAGAGGTCAATTGACATGGTGAAATTATTTTGCGACTCTTTCTATTCTTGATTCAGGTTCAAATTAATGTATTGATGGTAATATTACAACTAGTGGTGGTTTCTCCATTGACCAATACTGTATCGAATGGAATCATGAACGTATATTGATGACAAATTCAGTTAAATTAGATTATCCTAAATATATTGATCTATCAAAAAGCATTACACTGGCTGAATTTAAAAGAGAACGCTATTTCCTGACACAGTCACAATATCATTTACTAGTGCTTTCTAACAAAGATCCGGGAGGGGGGGGGGGTTATTTATAGTTAGACTTTTCGTTTGGGATGGTTTACATCCACGATTCAATTGAGGCAAAAATGTAAGAGAATGAACAAAAATTATATTCATTTATTGATTAACAAACGAAGATACCGAATTCTTTCTTTTGTGGAATTTTGAAAATGTTCTACACATAGTTGAGGTTTTTTTATACCCTCAAGAATTAAGCAACATAATTGGTCTATGTCGACTTCAATCATATTTTTTAGACGTTTTATTTTTTTCAGTCTGTGCAGACCTTATTCGTTTCTCTCAAAACAAGCAAGTGGGACGAAAAAGTTCATATTCAATGAATATGTCGAAATTTTCACTTATTACGTGGCCTGGTGAAGGATATGAGTGAAGACAAAAAGACGATGAACTCTGACATCCATATTCACACCCTCGTTTTATTTATTTGTATACTTAAGTGTTACATTGAGTCGATATCTTCCTGAACGATGACCCTTTTGCCTCAAAAATATTTGTTAGATACATGTTTATCGCGTTTTCCCTCGAAATCAGATTGACTGTCGTCGATAAAGACCGCTAAATGATATCATAGCTGTTTATTTTTTTGTTACTAATGAGAAAAATAACGAAACACGTACCATAGGAAGAAAAAGAGTAAATGAAAAGAAATAAACACCCAACCGCCAGTCACGTAGTCATGTTGTCTATTCTCGACCTATGTGAGAAGTTGCTTTGCCGTTGGGATGCCGAGGAACTGAGACCACACATTCGCTACCGTTGTATACTGCTGGAAAGTTTACTCTGTTGTGAGTCCATTCTGTGAAGGCACAACATCCGCATCCACTATACCCATAACTATCGTTGGACTCTCGATCCATGTCTTTATCTGCCATTGTGTTGCTAACGATGTGTTCTCAACGCTCGTTTTCCTTACCGAAGGCTTTGATCAGCAAATTGCGCCACGATGTAATCATTCGGACTTGTTGTTAGAAGAGAATAAAGAAGAAGTCGTGGGAGGAATAGATTATTTAATGAACGAGAAGGACGGAGAGAGAAAAAGAGAAAGAAAGGTTGAACGATCAGGCAAAATGGCTAACTCTTGTCTAAATGTTATAATGACCTCCACTCCAATAGTTTAAGACAGATAAGAGTTCCACATACAAATACACAATACTTTTATCGTTGGTCAACTGAACGATCAATATATATGTACATGCATACGTTCAGAAACATTTTCAGCATTATAGCGATGACCGACGAGAAACGAAGGCATACAGAAAAAGTAATAGAAAAGGAGAGGAGATGTCTAGATAAACTAGAACATGACGGATACATCCTAGCAATCTGCAGACAGATTTTTGAATTCGCCGACAACAACTACAAGGGTGGCTGTGGGTATACGTTTATTCTTTATTCAACGCCCACACCCACACCCGTCGTTGCCATCAAACTATAAAAACTTGAATATTTAACAAGACAAAAGTGCATCAAGGTAATAATGCATGTCAACGTTTTATGAGATTTTCTAATCATTTTTTCAGAAATTTAATAATGAGCTGCAGTGTGATAATACTTCATAAAAGAACCCAAACGTTGCATTTTTTTCTCCTAGTAAACTAATTCAAACTATGCTGAATGTAAAGAGAGTATATTTCATAACACCGAACTTTTTCTTTGTCCGATGACGTAAATAATATTTAAAACATGACAGAAAACAGCCAAATGCACCAGTCACGACATATCATCACAGTGTAGGTGTCCATGCGTTTCTGGCGTGGCCACATGTATCTTCGGTCTAAAAAGCATTAGGGCATCCACACCCAATCTTCCAATTAAAGTTGACTGGAAAATTCAATTTTCAGAAAGCATGTCATCGCTTCCAGCAAATCCCAGTTATCCTCTTCGAAGTAGTGTATTTCAAAGTGAGTCTACAATTAAGATAGTTCCATTTTTTGGCTCACATTCAATTATACAGCCTATTTATTCAATCGCCTATTGAAACAATTTGACAGCAGTTTTTTCTCTACTAATCATGAGCTCTTTTAATTAGTTTCATGGGCTACACCTAGCATAAAAATAACAGCGAAAAACAAGCTTAATCAATATCAGTGAGACAATTTATAATTTCAGTGCGACTGTGTGCGTGTGAATAAAGAACAAATCAGCGCTCATACACTCAAGATGGTCGGGTTAACGTTTTTATATTTACTTATTTGTTTATGTTTTTTCTTTAGTTTACGACGAAAAAAAGTTTGCTTTTCTTCCCTCTATTGCCGTGATCATCGTTGTTTGACAAAATCGATAATGAAAATAGGCAGTAAAAACAAAAGTACCTAAAAATTGATCTTCGAACTATACGTTTATTTAATAAGAAATTGTATTTGCACTCCTTGTCGATCCCATTCATTCATAATTACTGAATGATAGGCAATGTTGGTTATTACGATAATATATTCAAAAAGACAAAACATGGAATAGATATATGGCTCACAAAATGTCACATGTCGATAATAAAAATAAAATGAAATCGAAATTGAAACGATATTCAACGTAAACCATGTTAATCTTTTCGAGCGTACCGATTTTTCTTGTTCATTTAAAGGAATATGCATTATTCTTGGCCACAAATAATCGGTTGATACAGTCAATAGCATATGTGCCAATGAACATATCATAAAACTAATAAAGGAGTATTCGTGTATCCATTTGATTTCCCTCGATGATACATATGTCAATAACAGGAGAAATGTTAATTCAAGAAAATGAAAAGTACTACTTGCTATTTGTACTAATGCAAAATGTTCAGGATATTCAATATGATGACGATTAAGTAAATGATTTAATCGTAAATAAGCAATAATATAACGAGGAATACTATCCAAAGCAAAACATAAACGCCATATAAAACGTTGTGGTTCATATTCACTGATTGATGCTGATATTGATGGAAGAAAATTAGTAACATTACAATGTGTGCGTGTTGATTTTTCAAAATCTTTCATTAATGATAAACTAACACAAGAAAATAGAGCAAAACATGGCACTATATAGGCAAACCATAGAAACTGGCTCATAGATATATGAATACCTATAAAACAAAGTTTAAATGATAGAAAATTATTTTTGAAAGAAGAAAATTAAATTACGTGACGGCATTCTTTGACCAGTCGTGTTTACTGAAGTGGAATAGGATCAATGCCGGAATCTGAAATTATTAATGTCACATGTATTGAATAATTCATACGAAAAATATCTATGGCAATAATGACATATCCATGGCTGGGACAACGAGAAAAATAAGAACGATAAAAAAGAAAGTCAATAGTATAAAGCAAATAGAAACGACGATATACTTAACAACTGATGCTCAGATCTACATGCAGCGTTATTAGAAATTCTGTTTTTTAACTTGGTGTCTGTATCAATATATTTGTCTGATGAAATGAAGAAGGATTGACTATTTATATCTGCTTTTTTATATTCTCAGTGTGGCGAATCTACCTATCAGTTGAATGCTCACGCCATTATACTGTCGGTTGCTCATAAAATTATACGACATGTGTTTTCTAGTGGCGATGAAGAAAAATTCAATCATCGATGAATTAAAGAAATTTAAAACGACGAAGTTGTCGATAATCATATTAATCCTTTGTAATATCAACACTTACTCATTCCTTGCATAATTTCGTTCCTTTTCTTCTTTTCTTCGTCTCCTTTCGTATTATCAACATTACTTTTTTTTTCTTTTTTTCTGGTCTGAATCAACCAGTATTGTGCGTCGGGATACCAGATCTTCTAAAAAAAGGCAAAAGATTCTGAGTTTCGATCGTTTTTTTTGTTTTTGTTTTGGCATTCTGTTTTTTTCCGAATTCTGCAGACTTGCTGATCGTAGCTCTGTTGATGAAATCCAGTCCGATTACAATACCACTGTGAAGCTAGCCGGGCGGCCAATAGAATGTGTCCGAGTCGTCCACCATTCACGATACGAGCAGAAATTACCTATACCAATCCACAAAAAAAACAAAATTTTTCTCTAACAACCATTGAAAACTTCATCAGAAAGATGCACAACCGCAAACACTAATGGATGCGGAGACGAAAGGTTGACACTCCCACCCCCAAGATATTTATCTGCTTGTTTTGAGTTTAGTGATTGAATTTTGGAGGTTTTTTTGCAAGATAGATTTCATTTTTAGTTTGGTTATCCGAGGCTCACACCTAACACCGTCTAATATTTACTAACAATGCTAAAATACTCAGCGACATTATTTTTTATTTAGTAATATTGAGAAAATTTTGAAATAGATTTAGCATGTACAAAAAGCAAATACTGATTAGTTCATAAGCATTTTTAACATAAGCCTTTTGATCAGTTTTATCTCAAATATTGTAAACTGTTATGTATTTTACTTCGAAACGAGACGAGAGATACACGAAGGTGTTTTTTTATAAAATTTTGATGGTAGTATAAATATAGAAAACGTCAACATAGATGGAATAAATAAAATATATAATAAGAAATAGCCATGCATCACTTGTTGATCTCATACATTTTGATAAAAATACAATAATTAAACGTGGTATTCCAAGAATCACTACTACAACAGGTGCAGTTAATAAATGGCTATTCTCTTTAATTTTTTTAAAAGTTTCTATGAAAGTTTGACTAGCATGAACATTTGACTTCTGGCGCGATCTTTTTGTTATGAGAACAATAGCTGATATAAGATTAATGACAAATGGAGCCAAAAAGTGAAATGTATGAATAATATAATTGAATAATCGTAAATTCGATGTATACAATGCAATAGACCATATTCGTTTATCATCTTCATCGAGTAACCGTCGATAAATAGGATAATAGATATTAGTACTAATAGTAAAAATTAGAAGAACAATAGTAAATATTTTCGACATTTGCTTGCTTTTTTTGCACTGAATTAATACTCTTTTTTATTGTAATTGCTCTCTCGATAGCAGCAGCCGCATTTAACCATTGATTCATGTTAATACAAACTCCTAAAAGAAAATCAAGAGATAAACGTTGAATTCGTAAAAATAATCGATTTCATATAACTGCCATTTGTACAAGAAGAAGTATCCAAAACTTCAATGAAAATATAAGCGTTATGAAAAAAGTAACATTTGATGAGATTAATAAATAAAAGCCACAGCTAGTTTGGCACATAGATTTATTATTAAATGTAATGAAAGTTAACAAATCATTGATTAATCCTATTACCATAAAAATCACAGTTAATGCTACAGTAATTTTTATAATTATTGGTTGATGGATAATATTTGTATGTGGCTGGTTATGATAACCAATGATAGTATCAAGTGATAGAACAAATCCATTTGAACTAAATTGGCATCGTGATCCATAAAAGCGCGGTTGACAAGTGTATGTTGAGTTTTTTGAACAATCTGAAGAGTCTTGAAAGCATTGCCCTTCATTTTCGCAGACACTTTGACTTGAACAATCAAATTTCATATTATGATTAAATTCAAAACAATTTGCTGAGCGTTGCGATCCATAATCATCACATAGACACATATGGCAAAAGGTCAGCCAATTAATTTATTTGACCGTCTTCTTGGTGCTACTGGCGGTAGTCTGCATGGCACAAAGCGCAACGTTTCAGCATGCGATTGGCAAGGACCTTCTCCATCATTTTATCAGTCAACGTCAAACGTGTGATCATCCCAATTTTCCTGATTGTTGTTCTCGGGTTTCTCAACTTGGTGATTGGAGTGGTTTTGATTGTCATGCTGTTAGTCGTGGTCGTTGTTAATTAAAAGGGAAAAGCCAGGCAGGTGAAGTTGATATAATGTATCTATGATAACTCATCGCCTAATTTGCTTCTTGGAGACACCTGGCAGAAAAACACAACGTTGAGAATCAGACTTTCATAAAATATCGTCATTATTGTATCACACTCTTCATTAGTTAGTTTCGTTCTCTCCTATCCTCTCTGCCCTTTTCTGGTTTCTACATTTTCTTCGATTGTTTTAAAAGATACAAGGTGTGGGTGTAGATGAAGTATGTGATTTGTTTCACATGCAGTGATTTATCTACCGTATGGGCAGGGTGGGCGCCGCCCGCCCGAAATTTTGATTTGCCCACCCGAAAATAAACAGTTGATTTCATAAAAGTAACGGGTGACCCTTAAAGAATGGTGGTCTCATTATTTACTCAATATCGTTTTTGCTCTTCATTGATTTGAACTGAACATTTTCCCAAAAGATTGAGCATTCAATTCTCTACAAACTCATGTGTAAAAGATTTTTTAAAACTACAAAACGGCTAAGTACTAAAACGAAGAAAAAAGGTCGAAGAATCTCCAACTTTCAAGCATTAAATCCGCTTTTTTTTTGAAAATTTGCGTTCCATGTGAGGATCTACAAAAAACTCATTCTACCATGTTAAAGAGCATTAGATTTTGGGCAAGATTCATGTCTTCGAATTTTGTTTCATTACAAAATGAGTAAAAAATTCTGCATCAGTTCTTTTGCTTGTTCTAAAAAACATAACTGCTATGCCATATTGTTGATGCTTGCACTAAAGCGCATGCCATTCACTTAAAAAGTGTTATTTTTTGACGATTTTTTTCCTTGAAAGGCAACATACTCGACTACACTCCTGTACACTTGTTCGAGTGATGAAAAGTTTCGTTTGCAGTAGACTTTCTTGTAAACCGAAATTAAGGCGTTATGGACGAGTTTTCAGAAAATATCGATTTAATAGGCGATTACCACTTTTAAAGAAACGTTTTTCAAATACATCGAAAAGAGCGTACTTGAAAATACCAGATAATGTTTATCCCGTAACTTAAGCCTGCGTTTAAATTGTCGAAACATACTATAAATGTTAATATATGTTGAGCTTGAAAGTTGGAGATTTTTCGACCTTTTTTCTTCGTTTTAGTACTTAGCCGTTTTGTAGTTTTAAAAAATCTTTTACACATGAGTTTGTAGAGAATTGAATGCTCAATCTTTTGGGAAAATGTTCAGTTCAAATCAATGAAGAGCAAAAACGATATTGAGTAAATAATGAGACGACCATTCTTTAAGGGCCACCCGTTACTATATGATAACAAATTTTCTAGCCAGCAGCCCCTCCAAAAATTTCAACCGCCCACCCGAAAAATAAAACCTAGATAAAACACTGTTCACATGTCTCAACCGGAACCTACACCCAGCAAAATGCACATCCCAACGCGCATCGGCCATTTAAATAAATACCCAAAGATGTTTCTGATGATGTTTTTAGCAGTTAACGCCTCGAATTAACAATACCTTTGCGTATTTGATTGAAATAGGCTTTGGAAAAAAACTTGTTAAGATCATTTTTCTAGTGGCTAATAGACTTTACAAGTACATATTGTATCAAACTGCCATTGTTGAGTTTTGGAAGGAGGAAAAGTGATAACTTCAGAAATTAACAGCTTTAGATATAATTTCGTCTATAATATTCTGTCTAACATGTTTTTGTTTATCAAATTTTAAGTTTTATTTTCCATTCATCATGAAAATTGAAAGCTCGACTACGAGTCTTTTAGATTTTTGCTATTATAATTTGAAAACTTTCTCTGGGCGTCTATTTACAAGTTGACTTGCTTTTATATTATCGTAATGGTCTGGACTTAACGAAACGAAATTGTTTCTCATCAATCTTTTAAGGCGATCACGAAACAATTAAATATTGATAATAGAAAGAATAATTGAAATAACTGCTGCTGACATAATGTCATGAACATAAGGGCGTGGGTATGGGTAAAGAGAAAAACTATATGCTCACACCCATACCTCAGTGGTAATGATACAAAAATAAATTTATACACTCGACAGGATCTAATCATATTCAATATAATTCTCATAGTATCAGAGAAGCTGGATATACTTCGAACGTCAAAACTTTTGCCAATATCATGAGAGAAATACTCTAAAAACTCGCATATTGCACGTATAAGAATCAACGAGATGAGGCGTTATGAAATTCTGATGACGATGAGTGTTACGAATACGGTCTAAAATGTCCCCAAAAAATTGTCCTTTCAGAAATGTCCCTCGTTTTTCGTCCTCAGAAAAAATGTCCTCCGATATTTTGTCCTTGAAAAAATGTCCCTTGCTATAAAAATATTCCTTTTTCTTTAATTTTAGTTGTTGAACTGTGTGTTGGTGAAATATAGATGACCCCTTCAAGAAAGAAATATATCGGTGCACATTTTTATTGTCTATTGTAGAGGACGCGACTACCGTATCAGTGATTCAATAAAGACGAGAAAATATATCGTTTAAATGTCATTCGTTGTTTTGCGTAATATTTTTCCGTAATTGTAAAAAGACATTTTTGATGGGATCTAATAAGTTGGCAGCTATTGATGAAACTGAATGTTTATCGCCATCTCAATCACTTGAAAATTCTTTTTGACAGCCAAGTCCAACTGAAATAACTATTACAAAAGCATACTCGAATAAAGGAAAATGTAATTATGTTAATTGTTAATGGTTATAATTTACAATTTTAAAATTTTAATCGAAGGAAAACTAAAATTTTGGCGATGTACAACCGAAGTTGTAATGTAATTTTGCATACAAATTCTGATGATACATTTATGAGATTTTCTGGAACAATTACTGCTCATGACGTCATTTTTCAGATTAATTGCTGAATAAAACATCGTGTAAAGCGACCCAAGTCAAAAATCGGTGAACCACGTATGAAAGAATTATGAACGATTCGACAAAAAACAAATTGATCCACAAGAGTTGATAAACAGACTTTCTTTTTTTATCGCAAGTGGAAAATAAATTAGTTTTATTCGTTTTACTAATTATATCACATGATTGCTTTCATGAATAAGAGTTGTTCATGTTTTACAGAAAGCACATCTTAAAAAATGAAAGACATTTTTTCGGAGGACAATATTTCTAAGGACCATTTCTCGGGGACATTTTTGAAAGGACATTTTTTTGGGGACATTTTAGACGGTTACCAGTGTTACCATCAATGATTCAGCATGTATGGTAATACTCTCGAGCAACTAGACAGTATAATTCCAATGCGTTTATTTTTTAATAAAAGAAAAAAGAAAAATAAACGGAGAATACGCTAAAAAATTGATAGTATTCAATAGTTTTGGTGATAATTAATGAGTTGATTGAATTTTACATGCATGTAAAGCACTTAGCTTTTTCTCACGGTTCTCAAAAGATCTTGTTGCCAAGATAATAACGATCACCAGGAGGAGCAACACGTGTACGACAAACACTATTACTAGATCGATCGGGACCATTGCAAACATTACTGATGACACGATGTGTTTCCGGATCAACAGTAACAGAGCCATAACTACAACCACACTTTTCATGACCTCTACCAGTGAGACTAGCCCAAAAACTATAACAAACAACACAATGGCCACTCTCAGGATCATCATGACCACAACAATCGGAACTGGTAGTACAAACTTCACCAAGACGAGTACAGCCACCTTTCTTGGCAGGTTGACCAGATTTTTTTCCTATTAGTGCATTGCAATGCACAGCTAAAAATGTTAAGATGCACATAAAGTAAATCACAGTCTTGATGTTATGCATTTTTCTGATGTCGATTATCGAAAGGATACGAATATGCGTGTCAGTTGAAAAAATTGTATTGCAATTATGCCTTTATTCAAGTGGTATCTACTGCTTTTATATAAGCAATAATTGCTTTATAGAAAATATACGAAAAAATTACTCTCTATTTATCGTGTGGAGTGAAAAAACAGTGAGTACCTACAGGTTATTTGCGAATGGAGAATAGATATACACACTTAAAACATACTTGTTCTTTTCTTTGTTTGGAAGAAAATAGATTCTAGTTTGTATGTGAGACGTATTTAAACATATAGATGTTGAATACAATTTAAAATGTGCTCTAGGTCTCCTTAATATATTTTCAGTATCAAATTACTGAATGTCAATGTGTGCAGTTTTACCTCTAATCCATATTTACAACCATGTCATCAAAACTTTGTAAACACTATTCTTCATGTAAGTACAGGGATACCGTTTTGAAGCTAACTATGAAAGATTGAAAGATGGACTTACATTTGTAAGACACTACTTCAAGAAGATTTTACGTTACTATTTGAGCGTCTTCCTTCCTTTCTTAAAAAACCTTGGGATAAAGCTATTAATACTTTACATAGCTACGGCAAAAGTCTCCATATTCTTAAGATGTTTTGGTGAATACAGCCTATAAGTAATATTGGCGTGTTTAAAAGTGTAGTTTATTCTTCCATCGATAGCTCCTCATCACTTCATTGCACAAAATTGCCTCTCGATAGGTATTGACTGTAGGTGTGAGTGTGTCACATTACTGAACTAGCCGATAGTAACACATACTCCTATCCAGCCACACCCTCAAAACATACTTTCGATCAGTATTCGCTTACGTCACATATGGATGTTGCTTCATTTAAGTGTGGTGTCGCTCATATACGGATGATTTAGATGCGTGGTTAGCGTGCACTGAATATGATTATTTTGAAACTTTTTCTTGGTTCATACAGCAATCTCGTAATAATTATTTCGTATGACCAACTAAAAGTCATACGTGACATGAAATTTGCTGAACGTAGAAAGTTGCGTAGAGCAAAACAAGAGAATCATGAAGTCTACTGTACAAAAGACAACTCCAAGTCATGCGCCAATGAGTCACCGCTCTGTTTCTATAATGTTTTCTTGATTGAATGCAAGGATGACGGCTATTGTTGCTTGATGGTGAAATCAGACATTATGATTCTGCTCGCTTCTTATTTGTACTTTACCTGCTTCCAATGCTCTGCGTTTTCTTATATAAAGTGTGTTAGCGTTGCCTACGTCTACTTCACAAATTGAAGAATGTAAGTTCTGTGAATGGCTAGCAGTCAATCACCTTCGAAAGGCCACCAGAACGTTTTTTCGCGTTTTTTTCAACGTTTGAAAGGCTCGAAAAATGTTCGACACCAAGACAAACAAAATGATGCGAGTCAAGCACAAGCCACCATTGAGCAGCAAACAGCAGATGCCATTGCAGCCCAAGTGAAGGCTCCGCCAATTAATAATAAACAACATAAGGTAAAACTTTCACCCTTTTCACCACCGAATTTGTTAAACGACAATCACAATGGCTCCTCCTATCACTTTTTACAGGACTTTTCCCGAGCCAGATGCAAGATGTTTTTTCCAACATCAGGTCGTATGGGCTTTGATAAAATCAAAACATCGACTGAATTCCCTCCAATCGAGACCGTACGCGAAATGATTACTTATGAAACAAGCATCCGACTATCCGAGCCGATTCAAGAACTAATGGACTTTTATCACAACGATGAAGCTTCGTTGAGGTTAGCTCTACTTCTGCACATAATCTCGTACTCTAAATTTACTTTTGCTATGAAATTGAAGTCATGTGCTCGATCTCATCCAACAACATGTCGTGGAACATTTTGGATATCATGATGTCAATGCTCTGCGAACTGCTTTTCACCGTTTTCCAGATGATCCAGTCGTGAAATCAGCTTACTACGGTGAGTCAAAGAGAGGAACAGAAACATAAAAAGACGCTTCGTTGCTCTGAAGTTAATCTGCTTTTCAGAAAAACGTTTTCGAAATAAAAGCTATATTTTATTCTTACTATTAACACAGTCAGTAGAGATTTTCAAGTACAAATCAATGGCTCAATCTTGAATACTACAACTTTTCTATGTTACAATTAAATATCTCCGTTGATTTATTTCTAGTTAAGCACAACAAGATCACACAAGGTCTGATCAGTCAAGGCCAGTGTGCGCGTGACGTCGATTTGTATACCACTGAAGGTCAGTCCAGGAATCTTTTCTCACAAATCACAGCTGGTCAGCCATTAGTCATTTTGGCTGGCTCAACTAGCTGACCTCCATTTCGGGCGTCTGCCGAGCGAATTAAGTAAATATTGCTGATTCGATTAAATCTTATACTTATTATTCATTTGATCTAGCGCGCTATTTCGCTCGCATGCGCCCAATGGTCTGTGTTTCTTGGTGATTTATATTGTCGAGGCACATGCCCGCGATGAATGGCCTATGGGTAAAATAATATCACGCGTAGACCAACCAATTACACTCGAACAACGCCTGGTCAACGCCCGTGAATGTCAGAAGGATTGCAAATTTGAAATGCCCATGCTTGTAGATAGTATGAACAACACTTTCCATCTGACATATGGATCCTGGCCATTCCGCTTCTACATTATTCACAATGGAATACTCGTTTTAAAAGCAGAGCCTGACAATGATACTTTTAGCTATCACATCGATGAACTCAATCAGTGGATTGACAATTATTATCAATCGTATCGTCCCATTGCCTAAATCCTCGTATTCATCGCCTGTGTTCTTCTTTTTCTTCGTTCCTTTTCTTGTTTCTGCTTATTCATTAACTCGACGGCCTTCAACAATGAAATTCAACATGAATTTATGACGACTGTGTGATAAAATCACATTTGTGAATGTTCACAGTTTGATTTCAATATGTTGCCTTCTTTGAGGAAATTAGCGCGTAAATCCGTTGAACTAATAAATCAAGCAGATAGAAACAAGGGAATATGTAGAATCACTCTAATGTTTGTTTATCCTATTGAATTCTTTTTAAAATAAAGCATACTTATTCAAAATCCAATTAAAGAATGAGGGAAAAGGTTGCGTTTTGACAATGAACCGACGAATTCACTACGGTTAGTATTGATATTGCAGAATAATTTTAGGAAACCATGTATCTGTCTAATGAGTAACGGTTGCTTTGCCATTGGATACTGTAGAATGCGCGGTTCGATGCATATTGTCATCGTTGCTATCTACTTACTGAATATTTATTTGATGAAGCATTAAATTTAAGACAAAGTAGAAATCGAACTTCTGTTGAATTACAAAATCAATGTCGACTATACGTATCATGTTATTTTTTTGATGAAAAAAGATAATTTTGATTGATTGAAGTAAAAAACAGATATATTATCATGTATCTTATTTTATTTTTTCATACAAAAAAGTAAATATAAAGATATAACAACAAAATCTATTAAAAATGATCTTGGCACGAACACGTTCTATTAGTAGAAAAGTGATGGATACAATTAGCATCACGAACAACAATATTGACTTGACGAATTTTTGCAATTAATTTTGCAGCTTGATCTGAATAAGAAAAGCTGTTAGCGCAATCCCTGTGGGATTAAAATGTGAAACAAGATGGAACTCCTTTGCTGGAACCCGTCTACCACGGTCTGTATTTTGATCTATGGAGTCGGTAGAGACCATCATAGACTGTGGCAGAGAATTCACAAACCATCACAAACCGTGACAGAGAAATCAATTAGCTAATTACTTAATTTCCCTGTCCCGGGGTGGGTTCAAATTTCTCCTCTATATACTTCAACACTCCTTTCAGATCGTGTTTCACAAAAAGAAATACATAAGCTACTGAGAATCATAGAAAAATAACTGATAACTTACGACAGTCACCGCAGACACGAAGAATTTTTTGTAATTTGAATAAACGATGGTTTTGTTTCTTGAATAAAATTAAAGGCAATTGCAAGTCGTTCACTATGAGCACATAAAATAGATTCCATTTTTTCATTTTCATGTAACGGACGAGTAATCCAACTTGAATCATAATTATGTCCATGTTTAATAAGTTCAGATGATATACGTTCAGCTTCAGCATAAATTTCTTTTGATCGAGAATGAGAACGGTCATGAGCTTTGAATTGCTAAAAAAGTGAACAAATTCTTTTCTTTGAAATTTGATTTTTATTAGAAAATTTTCTTACCACTATCTCACCATTCACTTCAGTCCACGATAAATCTGCTTGAACTTTTTTCCTACTTCTTTTATTCGATTCAATCGAATATTCTCTGCTTCTTCATGATCACCTAATTATGAATATATATTACAAAGAAGAATTGAACCAGATGTGAGAGCATCTTTTTGATCTGGAAACAATAATTTCATTCTTAGATATATTTTTTCTGATAAAATATAATTATGAGAACTACGTGCACCAGATAATATAGCCACTAGAGTCAAAAATAAATAATGAATCAACAAAAACAAATTAATATCGAAACAACACTTACTGTACATAGCTGAATAAGGTGGATTGGATTTTTCATAATCTTCTAATAGCTTTTGTGCTTCATCAAATAAAAAAAGGCGACTTAAACAATCAATCTAAATCATAAAAATATGTTCATAGTTAACAAAAACAATAAAATATACAAACCATTGCAGTAATAATTTTTTTCCGTTCTATGAGAGACTTCATTGGAGATAGAATGCGCTTCATTAAGAAGACCCGAATGAGAACATGTATTTAATACACAAATGGTTGAAACTTCATCGTGTAGATTATTAGGCATCTTTCGATATAAATCCACAGCTTCTGAGCCCATTCGATTAAGCCCAAAAGAATTAACTTCAAAGAGAAATTAGTAAAAAAATATGATGATAGAAAAAATAAAGATAAAGAATATTCACTCATTGCAGTATATGTAATAACATCGGGTTTATCAATCGATTCGAAAATCTTTTGAGCATCCTTAACTGAATCTGCTTTTCCCTGTGACAAAAAAATGAATGAATAAAATTATTCGTTCAGACAATTTTCACAACCAATACATACCCACATATCAATTAATGAATTGCGTATACGTTGATTCTCATAGAAGTGCAAAGGTATTTGAGCAACAATTGATTGACATTTTGAAAGCATACCAAGTCGTGCACATGCACCAATCAGTATGATTAATACGATTGCATCGGCATTTATATCATTTCGCTTCATTTCTTCAAAAAGTTTTAAACTTTTCAATGGTTCACTATTTATATTATATTCATTCATCGTAGTTCCATAAGTAATTATGTTCTTTTTTCGGATCATGTGAAAAAGATTTCTCGCACTTCTAACATCACCAAATCTTATTAATATATTTATTGCTGAATTTTGAATATAATTGCCATTTACAAAATTCTTAGGCATTTCATCAAGAAGTTTTCTTCCAATTTTCATTGCTCGATCATTAGCAACTCGAGAACAAGCACTAAATAAAACAGCGAGAATAGCTTGATTAGGTTCAATATTCATTTCATCTAATAAATCGAGCACTTTAGTCGGCATATTATTTGAAATAAGACCTGAAAATAAGGTGATGTTTAATAGTCAAATGGCATAACTAATAATCATCACCTTTTAACATAGTTGCATAGATATAATTTGATTTATTGGTAATTGTAGAGAATAAACAGTAAGCATTATTGGCATCACGAGATCGCACTAGAAATAAAAATAAAATAAGATATTAACATAGTTTTAATTTTAAATGTCTAATATTGAATTATTCGAAGTATTATTTTCAGATGACTTATTCGGGTTTGGTGGAAAAGGCAGAAAGGGAAAACGTCGAAAAAAAAGGAAAATGCCGAAAAGGAAAATATAGAAGGGGAAAATACAGAAATTCTAAACGTCGAAAGAAAAAATTAGAAAAAGGAACACGTCGAAAGGTAAATGTCGAAAATTGCGTTTTTTGATAATTTTAACGAAAAATAAAAATTTATTCGATTATATGATAAAATACAATAAAAAAAAGAAAACTAAGCTTATCAGTATTATTTTCTTTTTTTTGTGTGATCCAAGTAGGAATGCTAATCCCTTCAATAATTGCTGTGCCTTGATTACCAAATCAAAAGAAAAAAATTTCGTTATCTATAGACATCTTTTTCATTCTGCGTTTTCCTTTTCAAAATTCTTCTAATTTTTTTCTCTGGCAGTTTTTCTTCGACACTGTTATTAATTATACTTTTTCCATTCGACGTTTTCCTTTCGACGTTTTCCTCTTCGACGTTTTTACCTTCTGCAATTCCCAGTTTCGACGTTTCCTTTTCAGCGTTTTTCCTTTCTGCCTCTTCCGCCAATTTCACTTATTCGTTCGTGATAACGTAATTATTTATAATCTTGATCTTAAAGACTTGGATAATTTCCTCTAAACAGAGATGGTTTTCAATCAATGGATATATGAGTTTTTTATTAAATAGTTATTTTATTTATCTCTAATTATTAAAATATATTACAGAATAATGTTGTATGTTTTGTTGAATCAACCGTGAAAGTTGCTCTGGTAAGATTTTACTCTCCACTCAAAATTTTACCAATTTGTATCATGTAGGTTTTTCAAATTTTAATAACTTCTTAGATGTTTTATGCTGAAAGAAGCAAGAAAAAGGAGATCATCGTTTTTTCTCATGAAAACGTTTCTAGAAGATTTTTCTTTTTATGCAGTTTAAGAAATCGCTTTATTATTTATCTTGTCATATTAAAATAAGTGTTGTGTTAAAAAAATTGAAAAATAATAAACTGTGAATTATTTTTACTTTTTAAACGCCTATTAGACTTATTAGGTGAGCATAGATCTTATCGAAAAGCTCCATGCTTTCATTTTCATTTCCAAGTTTACGAAAAACAAGCAAGTAAAAATTGTTTATTTTTATATTTAATGATAATATCTCAAAAATTTATAATTGATTGTTTTCTTCTCACAACAGCTTTTCGTAGTTTTACTGAATGCTTAGTATTATAAATCACATGTTTCATAAAAGAAAGAACCGTTTTAATAAATAGATTATTAATAAAATCTTTTAAAATTTTAACTAAATCGCGAATCAAAATGACATTAGTAATAGTTTATTGTTATCGTACGTCCAATAATAATTGAGTAGTTAAAGAAATAAATGACTCACTATAAAGTTGAATAAGTGTTGTTTGAATATAAGGATTACTAAGTGAATTTTGAGAAAGTTTTTTTTTGAATATTCATACCACGTTGATATTCATTTAAACTAATATACATGCTTTTAATGCCAGATTTATTTCAAAATCTGTACACGAATGAAATTGTTGATCGAAAAAATCGAAAGTTTTTTATATTCTTTTGAATCCATCAGCTGTTTCATTCTTGAATAAATCTCTCTTGATGATAATGATGACAATGAGATCGACGATGTTTTATATAAGTTTTGCTATAAAGATACAGTAAGACGAAACATAAATAAATTGTTCATAATTAATATATTCTATAAAAAAACAATGTTCATACTAAATAGAAAATCGATCTGCTCAGAATATATTTGTTTGATAAATAACATTCTCTAATTATATTTTTCGTATAGAAGGATGAATTAACTTTATATTTTTATGAAACATATTATAGGCTTATTTCTGAGTGACAAGAAAAACCTTATATGTACAAATCGGTTTGAGATGAGCTACGTGCACACTTCTTCATAATTATTGCATAGCGATATATAATAACACTTTTCCTCTGAGAAATAGAAAAGAGGGTGTCCAGTATCGATCTATTTCAGATAGAATCAGATGATCGAATTCTGCCGGAAAAAAAACTTCTTTCATAAAACTTGTATAACTTAAGTTGTCGACGTCGTTAAAAACTAAATTTTAGTTTTCTGAGTAGCCTAAACATTTCTCTGTCGATTGATACGCAAATGATTGAAAAACAATCAGCAGGTGTAGCAGAAGGGTCAATTTTCATCTAATTTTTCTCTGGATTTTTATTTGTCGGTCAATGTATTTTTTTCCTATTTCTGACATTTGTATTTAAAATAGCAATGAATCTCAGAAAAACTTCAGTTATGTATTCTAAACGACTTCTATTTCAAGTTAAAAGCATAACATTCGTATCCTCTCAACATGACGTATCCGAGTGCTGTTTTTCGTGAAACTATTAACTTTATCCACTGTTTGATACGTTCAGTAAAATAGTAAGAAGGAAAACTCTTTTGTAACGTAGTTTAAGAAATCATTTGATTCGTTATGTCGATAGGATTCGAATGCTATGCTTTTTATTTGAAATAGAGGTCGTTATCGTTAGGAATACGTAACCGATATTTTTCTGAGATTCAATTCAATTGAATTCAAGCTTCAAGTTTGACACTACGAGATAAGTTGTAACTGAACTCGTCAAGCACAAATCAATTTAATATCTAACTTACTCATGATTCTATTTTATTTGAAAAGTCTTCTCAGATCAACAGCAAAGCTGGACAATTTACATTTCTTGAGTCAAATAAAAGGAAAGTGAAGATATTTAATTCTTTCCAGTCAACTATTTGTAAAATACAGTATTTCTACAAGAGACAATGATTGTGCCATTTGACAACATATTCTAGTGAAGAGATAATACAATGTAGTGAAATGTGCAAAAGAAGAAATAGAACCTGAAAAGCACTATTTATCAATGCCTAATCGTAGAACATGGAAAGAAAAGAAAAGATAAGCATCCGTATGCTTCAGCGATTATCACTGAAATAATTCTTTCTCCAGTATAGCATGAGTTTAGTACGCGCCGTTATACTACATATTCAATAGTGTCAAACAAAATATTTTTTGATAATAAAGACTAGGTTGATATTAATGATTGAAAGTCTAGAATATATGAGATTCAAGTTGATATAAAACAACCCTAGGCGAAGAAATGATTAAACTAAATGTGACTCCGTTTATAAATCTAATGAATTACCTGTATTTAATAAGGAACTATTTTGTGGAAGTTACACATATTTTCGAAGAAAATAGTGAGTGTACGTTTTAAGGTGAGGATTTTAATGCCCCTCTCCCTCCCAGTTTCAAACATCAATAATTAAAAACAATAACTGGTTGTCGATTAGAGATCAGTATAAGTAGGATCTTGCTTGTTTCTCGTTCTCTTCGCCATGATAGAAAACAGAAAAAAAGTGTGTATGTGTATGGGTGGATGTGAGTGGTTTGCTAGTCTTCTATTGCCACTCACAGTCACAGTCATATCCACACTTGTCTGGCTGAGCAAAGAGCATTGATCTATAACTTAATTTCTCTCGTTTCAAACGATGTTTGATAGTTCAGAAAAATATAGCTGATCAGAGTGGCAGTCATTATTTTACGTACTGCTCACAATGATACATATCGCCCTCGGACCAGTATAAATCATCGCATACTTTCCATAATAAGGGTCTGCCAATCATTATTTATGAAAGGCAGATGGAAGGAGAACATCTATTAAATTTACTTGCGGTGCTTGTGTTTATAGTTAACTGAGTCATTTATATGGTGATCATTGTCGTTTTCTTCACGGCGAAGTTTTTCAACTTCGCGGATAGTCTGAATGTTCTCCAACATAATAAATCACTACCAGACACTCGCATGCCCATTAATTATGTTATAAACACGATTGAAATTCAGTAATCGATATTCAAAATATGACTAATCGACTCATTCATCAAATCATTGTTCATCAATATCTGATCAATGGCTCACGTCAATATGTTTCATTCATTATATCTTAATACAGATCTGGCACAGCAAACGCGAGCGCACCCAACTTGCTCTTAATCAATCTTGAACGGACTGCCCATTTTAATTTGTCTTCTGTCTCAATGCACTTACCTATAGTATTCACATCATAATTGCAAGTAAACATTAAATATAGGAGAGCATTATTCATGGTTTCTTCTAGTAATTAGAAAAATTACAGCCGCGATGTTTCTTCAGACTGCTAGAAGCTGGTAGAAAAAAATAATATTTGCTTTTTGTTTGCGTTGACTCGATGCTAAGAGAAACAGATGTTTTTATTTTCAAATATGTTGATTTCTAATTTGTTTTTGCTGACAATGAATGACCTCTTGTATTTCAATAAAAAGAAGAGTTAAAACATTTCTTTCTTTCGAAACAAATGTATGAAAGACGAAATATTGTTTTACGAACTTTCTATGAAAAAATGATTCTTGATTTTCACCTTTTATGCCACAGCGCTTTCAGCGATCACCGTGTTTTTTATGCACAACTTGATTCATTTGAAGTAATTTAGGGCGTGAGGGTGAGTATGGAGCATGAGTACAGTTGCAGATTGTTTAAACTCACCCACATCCAACTTATCAATAATACGAACAAGATCAGCAAGTGAACTATTAGCTTCTTTAGTAGTAAAATGTAAGATTACAAGCTGACGACAAAGTAAGCTTTCCAATTGTTTATTCAATGAAAGAGCACGACCATAATCCAGATCTGATTCGATATATAGTTCACTAAAATAGGGTGATCGTTGAGCAGTATGAAGTAAATGCGAAATATTATCGCCAACAACGCTACTAGATTATATTCAAAAAAAATAAATCAGTAATAAATCTGTGGCATTACACTTAATTATCGTCAGGATAATCACCTTCGAGATTAATTTTCCTCAAATGATGCCAACAATGTATTGCTGCCAATTGAACGAGCCGTTCGTCTTCGACATAATCCAGTTCATAAATGTCGATCTAGACAAAGAGAGCTTAGTGATGTGAAGTTCATTTTCGTTCATCGAACTTACTTCTTCAGCATAGTCGTTCACTGGTGCGTCTTCAACGCATTCGACGCTCTATGTTGAATCATTATTACTATCGATATCTTTCCATATCGTGCTGCAGATTCTGTACCAGTTGTTAGTCGATATTCGGCAAAGATCGCTTCTTGAGTTTCGCTATTATTGAAGGCATAAATTATGTCCAAGTTCAGTTTAAATGTAAATATCTTCGATTTTGATAAAGTTAACCAATGTCGTAATATTGTTACTCGTGGAAAATGACTATTATCAGCGAATCTTTTGATAACTTGATATAGTCATTCAATCAAGTCCACTGTAGCGTTGAAGATTTTCGAAAAAAGTTAAAACCCAAGCTACATCTGCATAGATTTTCAGATTGTTATGACGTAGTTCAGATGCGAATGCTTGTTTTAATGGAATTTGAAGTAACAATTCATTCTCAATATTGCCATGAGCCCTAAACCATAAAAACGAACAAATTTAGTTGATCATCTCCATCGACGATCTGTCACTTACATTGAAAAAGTTACGCGTATATTCTGTAATGTCGAGATCACAACATTCATCATATTGATCACAATAAAATCGATGTTAACCGACATCGAGTGATAATGAATGAATTTTAGATAATAATGAAGAATGATAAAGCAGTACTTCAAGGACATTATGTGAAACATCTTCAATGGTCAATGATGGCCAGGTGAGTTCATTTAATGGCACTTCAGGCAGAAAATAATCTACTGCACATGGTGCATTTCGTTCAGATAAATGAAGGCAAACAATCTGTGAAGCATGTTTGCTAACAATTTTCTTTAAATAATGATAATATAAGTGAGTACTCATTTGTCGATTCTTCGGTAAACAAAGTGGCTGCTGAGCAAGCATAATGTCAAATCGTCGATTGAGTCTTTCGAAAGCATTGAGAAGATCATGCGGAGCGAGATATTCGAAAATATGGTGAAAATTTTCGACTGGTAAATCTTATTCATGATCAACTTTCTAGCGCGCCGATTTATATCAATAGACCGATGGTATATTTATGTTGACCGTGAACTACTGGTTGACATGATTCACAATAGTTATCTACATAGAGAAACAAAGCTGCCGTTCAAGATAGTTGAATCAATGATTCTTGTCCGACAATTACCAATAAATATTCATTGCGGAAAATAAGATTCAGTCGATGTTCCTTTTGCTAGACTTTAACATAGATAAATGAATATCATATCTCTTTATAAATTTTTTTTCATAGGTTGAATGACAAAAAAATAAGTGAGTGACATTTTCAGCTCGACTAATTCTATCGAAACAAGCGAAAAGGGTTGTTGATGAAATTTCGAGAATCTTGCTGATTTCAAAAGATCTGAGCGCTATTAGTTTAAATCAACTCGTGCTTTGTTGCAGATCCAGTTCGTTGACATACCTCAATGGTCGATATTGGACGTAGTTCACCTGTGAGACAGTGTAAGGAAACTTCGGTCGTGTTCAAGATTAAACTGAATATGATCTTTATTTTAAAATAAAACTTAATCATATAAGCAAGTTTGAGATATTGTTACCATTCTGTTTAGGTGTGGGTGTGCGGGAATGGATCAATCAAGTATCCACATTTATGCACCCACAACCTTCTTACTAGATTTATTTAAGCAATGCTATTCACTAAAGCAAAACAAATTACTGATATAATCACTTACCGATCGATGTAAGAAATATTTTTTTTATGGCAAAAGATCTTCTTTTAAATTCTACTCTGGGAAAGATGATATCAAGTAAAATATCGTTGATAATTTGGTGCATGTGTCTCGTCTATAGTATCTTCTTAGCATTAAAACAACGGATGCTTAGTCTATGGATAAATATTGATTCAGTGTCGCAATTGAAAAATACGAAATTTCTATCTTTTCTTTTCGAAAATCTTGTGAGATAAATTAGTCAATGCTGTTAGTTGATAGTCAATATCAACCATTGCATGGAACTTTAACTTCATTCTTAGCTACATGGTCTTACGTGTTTTAATTCTTCTTTCATATTTTGCTTTGCAAATAAGTAAAAATGAATTTCAAATGAATTCATTCGTTTGATTTGAATATTGCTTTATTTATACCAATGACAAAAGCTTCCCTGATTAATTATTGAAAACATTGAATGAACAAAAAAATCGTTTTTTTTGGATATTTATATACGATGTTGTTCAATAATGAATTTTTTCGGAAGCGCAAAAAAGTATTTATTTGATTTTTTTGAACAAAGATTCAGCAATTCGATGTCCTGTTACTCTCAGCGAGAAATTATCTAACAATTGAAATTCACGTATCAGTGATCAAATCAATGAAAAGAAAGAGAAGCGAAGCTTGAATAAGAACTTTCTGCTAACGTAGATTGCCTGAGAGAATCATTCAACTTAGGACTTCGAATCCATGGCATTCATTTAGCTCCTTCTCCATCTAATAATTCTACAATTGATGTTAACCAATGACGAAGACAAATCTTATAACTCCATACTATGCAGTACATTGGTTCTTGGAAAAAATGATTGAATGAAGGTTTTTTTCTAGGACTCGATTTCTAGGTCATATACTTCAAGAAGCCTATTATCATATCGTCATCATTTGACGTTATAATAAATATTATGATCATGCATAACATGAGTCACATCACCATGACGCATGAATGTGAATGAGTTACGTATCAAACATATTGATCAACCTTGCATTGAAGGTCGCTCTTTGAATTTCTACCTATATAAGTGAAAAGCGTTTGACAATGCAACAACATAATCATCGTTCATAATTTTCCTCTGTTCGATAACCATATAGCTACTCCACAGTCATTACATGAAACAAATTCTCATCATACTAGGTAAGGTTTACATAAGAAATGTATAAAATGAGCTTATTTGTCTATTTTAAGTTTTTATCCTGGTCTCATTAACGCAGATAATTTTGGCACATACCATTGACAACGGCACATTGCCTACAAGTTTTACTTTGTCAGTTGAATCAATAAACGATACGGTCACCATAGATTCTACTTTGACGTCTCAATCAGTTAACGATACAAGCACCATTGACTATGAATATAACCAAGCTAGAGAGATATTTGGAAAGCCATCACCGAGCAGAAATTTTTCTGTTTTACCTTTGATAATGATTGGTGGCGCTCTTATAGGGCTAGGTGGTGTTCTGGTAGGAATGACGATACTTATCAGAAAGAATGAATCGACGAAATCAGCTGTATCTACTCAAATTTGTCTTGAAATTTCTTAATATTTCTAAAGAACTGTGTTTTACTTTATCTTAAACAAGTTAATTTGTATTTGTTAGTTTTTATCTCAACTGTTGTAGTCTAAATAAAAGCATTTCCTCTTTTTGTTGCTACTTCGGTGTTTTTGAAATAATTGTCTGCAGTATGAGAGTTTGAAAAAGGAATGCTCTCACTGACATCTAGAACACATATTGATACACACGTTGAAATCAACATAACTCTCAGTTAAAATTAAGACTGCCGAGAGAATTACTGCGATTTTAACTTATTTGCGGGTATAAGACTGCTCTGAACCCATATTCACACATCCTAAAAACGTGTACAGAAGAAAAAAACGCTTCATGCAAAGACTTGGCAAAATATTTATTATAATCCTTAATGCAAACTATAGATCTATCTACTTTTATTTACAATAATACAGTTATATTGTTATATTCTGTAACAATTGATGTTATCTACAGTTTTGATGACTAATATATTTGTACCAAATAAAATAGCATTGTCAACTGTCGGTTCGTATGAACGGTTTGCCTTTAGTTGTCCGTCTTTGCTAACATGGAAAAGACGTGAATTCTCGTAATCGATTACAAGCCATTCGTTATGTTTGAGTACACAAACATGATTCTTCCAGGGTGCAAAACAATATGCTGCATTAAATGTGGTTGGCCAGAGTGGATCGAATGTTGATGAAGATAGAATTTCTATGCGATTTTTGTTATTGATTCTGTTTTCTATTATTAAAGCAAGTGTTTCATTGTTATAAGCAATATTATAGATAAATTCGTCGCAGTTACAACTTTGAGAAGATTTTCATTGTTTCATGAATTGAAATGACGATAAAATATTGAACTGAAAAATATTAGAACCTGGTGCATTTGTCGTTAGAAATAAAGTTGAATCTGAACATGTACAAGACAGCCATTGCTTCTTCTCGATCGTTTGAATACATTTAAGTGATGTTAGATTTTCATGGATGAGAAAAACTTTATTTTTGTTTGTTATGATAATAAAACTGTTTAATGTCGATGACCAACACATATCAGGAATTTTACCATATTCTCATGGATATTCTTTTAAAAGAGTCAATTGCTCATCATATAAACATAAGTTTGGATATTGATCTATTAACAAAAAATGATTGTTGCTAGTCATGGCAGACCAATTATCTTTGGAACAAGCAATTGTTCGAGAAGGTGACGAAAGAGGTGACATATCAAGTTCATTCGATGTCCATTGTTCGATATAAACTAAATTTTGATTAATAATTAAAGGATTGACATCGACTACAATGCCATTCTCTTCATATTGGTTAACATCACGTTTGATACCATTAATAGTTGTTTTCAATGAACAAATATCGTCATGTGTAGCTTCTTGTTCTCGAATAAGTTCATTTATTTTTAATTTTAATTGATGAATTTTTTTTCGTTTTTCGCCAACTTTTTCAACACAACGCTGCTGAAGTTCTTGACATTTTTCTTCATAAAAACGATCAACTGTAGCATGACATTCATGACGCCATTTATCCAATTTTTGACGACATTTATCAATAACTTCATCAACATTCAATAACGACAATTGATTATCAAGAGTACTCATTTCGTCAGCAAGAGGATTCATTTGTGAATTTATTAAATCGAAATGTTCTTTCAAATGATCAAGACAAATATTGTTGTTGCAACAATGACATATTGCTCGTGATTTACGTTTGCATGTTTCGATCGCACACGATAGAGACATTGTCTAATCGAAATAGTGATTTTATTTTTCCAGTATTTGCGAGTATATATATATATATATACTGTTCAAAGAAAGCGAAAAAGGAATGAGAAGATCCAACATGATTAGTCAAATATGTATAATAACCGGCAGGCCTATCCATTGTGATTGATCGTCAATAAGAATAATATTCTTCAGTAATGTTTCGACTAATTCAAAACAATGGTACATTCATCCTGTCGACGTTCTTTTTATCTATCCATTGTTTTATCCATCATCATCAGTGAGACGCAAAGCAAATGAACAATCGGTTCGATTAAACAGTCCAATACTTGACGGCATACTACGATCTAGCCATCAATTGATATGATCTTAAAAGTCAGGCGAATTCCATTGCTAATAAATTCATTTTAAATGAATTTGTATCGAAGGCTATTCGTTATATTATTGGCCTTTATTTTTTCTTTTGGAATCATGTTCATCATAAGAATTTATAAATAATTCTTCTTATAAACTAACTATTTGGATTTCTATGTTTTGTAAGCGAAGATTGTTTTTGAGTAAATGGTTATTTTCTTGAAGGTAATGAAACGAGAGTTGTTAATAAAAAGATAATAGATGAGAGAGAACATGATACAAAATTAACATTACGTTCATCGAGTGATGTTTTATTGTTTCATATTAACGAAATTTTGGTTTGTGTTTGATGGATGGGTGTACAATAAAGAAACAAACGCTACGAATATTCAAGACTACTTTTCTTCTTTAACACCATATAAAATTTCTTGTCAGCATCGTTCAATAATTTCTCATTGATAAATCTACTTATTCAATATCGATCTATGTCCTTATTCAATGAGCATATAGAAACTTCACTGTTACATTGCTGAAAATCTGTTTTTATTGGATATGAGTTGCATAGTTGATACTAATGATGATTTAACCCATAGAAAGCTGTTAACAATGTGACGTAAATGAGCTGCGTCTAGTTAAACGCCAACGACATATTACTTATGAGAAATCGCCTGGTGGGGAGGATGCTTGTAATAATTAAATCCAAGTAATAATTATTCGTGTAAAAGCCTAGCAAGAAATCCTTACAGCAAGTACTTACAAGTTTTCAGTTGATGTTTGCTTCACATATTATTTCTATGCTTGTATATAGTTCACGCTGTTGTAAAAGAAACAACTTTGTAAGATTTCATTATTATCAATAGTACTATATTTGTATTCTCTTGATTGTTACTGGTGCCAACCAAAATTTGTGCTACAGAACGAAATTCAAGATCTTCAAAATAAATCTTCTTTGCTTAATTTTCAGGGCAAGCCGTACTGTGCTAAAATGAAGTATGCTGCTGGAAAATTACTATATTCTACGGTATCGAAGAAGAACATTGAATATCATGTTTTTTTAAAATCTTCTACCCATCTTATTATCATCAATGAATATATTAAAGCATTTTAAATAACTAACAGATCTTTTCAATCGCTGAAATATGCTATTGCCATTTTATTTGAAGAAAGATTCATTACATGGGTGAAACGGCAATACATAAATTATTGTGAGTATGCACTTCGGCCTTCGAAGCGAATGAAGCAAGCAGATACTCACTATAGTACTTCACCCAAGGGGGGAAAAGCGGATTTGGGATTTTGGGATTTTCTTCGGATCCCGGGATTTTTTTGGGATCCCTGGGATTTTCATGGGATTTTCGGGATCCCATCTTACTCAAAATCTACAATTTTTTTTTCGAGATTACCTATAGTTTTGAAGATGCGTATCGTGTCTCCAAATTCTCTGCCTCTTATTTCATGAAGCTGTGATGATATTCATGCTTTTACAAGTAGAAAAAGTTTTAGCCATTATAATGTAAGCCTTAAAAAATCACCTGTAGAGATAACTACTGAAATAACAAACATGGAATAGGCTCTATATTTCTTTCTGTTGTATCGATGAAAGAGAAATGAAAAGTAAAAACACTGATATCAACTGGCATAATCTGTAGCACTGCCTCAGCGATAAAATTCGTTTTATTAAACAAACTGATTGGTGAATTTGTCTCAGTTAATCAGATTATGGGTGAACTATTTTAGGTGCCAAGTGCAAGCAAACTATCTATTCACATATTATCTCTTTAAATCTAT